CTCTCCTCCAGTTGACAGTTTGGAGAGTCCACTTCCATTCCACCTGCTCTCGCAGATTTACAGTTTAGAACTTCAATACTATAACTTCTCATCTCCTTTGCAATCTGAGCAGCCTTGTCAGCTAGGTTCAAACATAGTGCGGACATTCCATGTCCCCACCCTTACTTTGGCTTTCATCAAGAGAGGGGAGACACATCGGCCAATTTGTTTCCCGAAGGCTTTCACCAACCGGCGTCATTTCGTCTCTCCGATTCCAGCGAGGAATAAGTTTATTTTTATGTTTCATATTTTGTTTGTGCTTTGAAGTTTCTGTAGCGGTTGGATTAGTTTTACGAGGTAGGGTTGCTAGCGGTATGACAAACCTTCCCTCTTTACCCGGGCTTAGGACAGGCTAGTAACTAGTGAACTAGTTAACTAGGCGAGGTTAGGGCGAACAGGTATTTGGCTGCAATGTTAGGTGCAACTAATTTGGTTGCACCGACCTGTTTCGGACGATGATTTTGATGACTACCCTTAGCAGACGCTAAGGCGTGATCAGAGTCCAGACAAATACTCCATATGGAGCGGAACTTCTGTATGTACCCAGGCCATCGGTAGCTGATTGCAATATTATCTACTTGAGTAGCAGAGGGAGAACTCCAAGTAGCACAACAGCGATGGCTGTACTGGAAGTTGTTGACGGCTGGAAATAGATTGTGATCCGCGCAGAGTTGAAGATGACGATTTTCATTATCCTACCTGCGGCCGACTAGTCCCCATTGGGCACCTAAACGACTCTCCTCCGTCGAGTGTACTTGGTTGCGGTCACTCAGTTGATGATGGAATTCATTCTTGGTTGCAGCCGGGCTACAATCCGTCAGATTCTTAGACAAAGATGACAAAGACATCGTTACTTCTTAGTTGAGATGAAACTTCTAACCTAACAGTATACAGATGACTGTTGATGGGGATCCAGCCGAGTATTGCAGCTTCGGCTTGAGCATTTTGTGCCACACGGGCACCAGGGAGACCGGCTGCCGATGCCACACAGCCCTTGAATAAAAGCACATAAAAATTCTTTTTCCACCTGACGGATGGGGAGCTAATTTGAAACACTTCACTGGGATCTTGTATGAGTGGTTTCAGGATAGCTGTCAGATTCGCATTAAAGGACAGTTTTATGGGGGGGGGGGGGGCAACTGTTTAGCGACTCTGAATAGTGCAGACAGACCAGAAAACTAAGCAGTAGAGAGCAGCTGAGTGAAGTGAAGATCAAGACAAAGGCGAAAATGGTAATAGTGAAAAATGCAGTTCGTATGTAAAAACCAAAACAAATAATAGCAGTAAATTGAATAAATAGTTATAGTAATGATGGGCAGTAGCTAGCAGTGGAATCCAGGATGCTCAATAACACTAAATAGTTATAGTGTTTGTGGTGCGGAAAGTTTGAATGTTTCCAGAAAAGTTCATTGTGATTGTAATCTCACATTTTATGTGGCGGCTGAGATACTGCCCGAGCTCCCAGACTGAACCAGCTGGTTGTTTTGGGGGACCACTTTCCAAGTCTTTGACTGAGTCTAATCCAGACGGCAGTGGAGCAACATCAGGAGCTGTATTCTTATGGTTACCAAAATAGTGACCAAAACAGGTTCATATGCTATGCGTTCCATCTGGAACCTGGAGCCCATGAGTACCATCTGTTTGGGATCAGGGTTTTACACCCCACCCCCACCTCAACTGAACCTTCAGTATCCACCAATCCGGCAATAAGCGCTGGACATTCGTTTTCGCCCTTTCACTTCTATCCAAAACCTCTGCCTGGCGTAGGATTTTAGAGAAAAGTCGGTTGATGCGGTTATGAACCTTCGACTCAAGTATCTAGGACATGTTTTACTCATGCCTAGTCACCGTCTGCCTCGTTGCACAATGTTAGCTTAAGTAGGTTCAGGCTGGTAAAAGGCTCTAGGCGGCCACAATAAAACATGGAATCATTGAATGATGTCGTTGACTGTTGGTTCGAGCCATGTGGGGAGATGCCAACTAGCCGGTTGGGGTCCACTTGGCAACAGAGACCAGTGGTTGAAGAGTATGTGGTGTGAGACAGTTGAAAATCGGTCTCAGTCGCACAGATGTATTCACTCCTTGATGTCTTCTAGGGCTTGACTATTTTCACTAACCTTCATCTCCAAATTGTTTATTCTGTCACACAACTTTGTTTTCTGATATCCACGTTTTCTTTATGTGCTACTGGGAGGTGTGACGACTTGCACCGATGAACTTGTGTGCGTGGTTCTACATTGATTTTGTCTGTATGACAATATGCGGTCTTCAACACCCCTTGAGTGGTGATTTGGGGATGGTTAAAATGAGTTTTTTGCCACCTAAATACAAATTGTTTTTCCAGAACTGGTCTTTATTGGCGCCCTGTCTAACAGTGGAGACCGAATTGATGACATCTCTTACCTAGGAAGTCGGATCAACCCTATTAGGTCAGTGAAAAACGAAATCTCAGTTTGGATACAAATGACTCGCTTTGCTTTCAACAACTTAAGCGTTTATAGTTCCACCGTGTTATCCGATTGTCAATTAAGGGTCGTGTGTACTGCGTTGCAGTTTTATGAATTCGGCTCTGACCGCGAAACACGACGTTTCAAGATATAGTGTATGAGAAGGCTTCAGGTATTCGACCACGTCTGCCTTCATAGCAGAGGCCATGTGTCATGGTGTCACCACGTCAGTGATGTAGACGTCACGTAGTTTTAGGGAAGAGAGGAAAGTCAGTTTGTGAGGTTGTAAACCTTCATCGACTCAAGTGACTGAGACATATGTTACGTAGCCTAGTCACTGTTCACTGCGTTGCACAACGTTAGCTGAAATACATTCAGGCTGGAAGAAGGTTAGGGTTGGTCAGACTAAAACATAACATCAGTGCTTGAAATCTTTGACTGTTAATCCAGCCCATGTAGGGAAATATGAACTTCATGGTTGGGATCCACCTGACAACAGAAACCAGTTGTAAGAGACTCTAGACGAAGTGGCTCAAAATCGATGCTAGTGGCACAGACGTATCCACACATTATCCTCATCCTAATCATGTTACCTTTCATTATTGTCGCATTCTTATCGCTACTTTTTGCCACTAACTTCTCTATTTTTTATTTTTCATCCTTGTGCTTTTTCCCTTTATGCATCGAAATGAGATGTGGTAACCTGGGCCATTACGAAGTAATATCTGGTCCTATTTTCATCTTATCTGTCTGTCTCAAACCCATCTCTACCTACCGAGGTTTAGGTAACTATGTCTTGCCAATAACCGTCACATAGTTGGTGTTACTCGGTGTAATGCCGGGACTTTTGTGCGGTCGCATTTTGGTGTACTCTGAACTGTAAATCTCGTAAACGCTTGCTTTGAGTTGTAAGCTTTTTATCTTGGATCATTGAACTACAGGGATTTGACAGTTGATGTCATTTGAAGTGGTAGATAATTGCACTGTTTTTCTTTCTTCACGTTACTGATTAGTCTCAGTCGAACCAGTTCCTCACATAACATATCGTCAGAAAGTAGAAAAGGTTGAAGCAGTCAGTTTAATGATGGAATAAAAAAAATGAAAAAAGATATGCGATTCATGGGTCATCAAATGAATCCACTAATTATCACCATGGCTCATTGATTTAGGCACTATCAAGCCATGCGTTTCTGGTTTTCACCCCACTCTGACTACTGTGGCCTGTGCAACCGGGTAATATCATAATCCTTCACATGTGGGGCTTATAGCCGAGTACATGAGAAAAATGTGCGAAATTGAGTTGCATTGTTATCCTGAAAAGGGTAATTGCATCGGTGACATTGCTACAGACTTTGGGGTATGCTATCTAAAGTTTCCACTTACCAATCGGTGCTGCCCCGCAGACCTGGACAACATGAGCAGTGAGAAACTGACCTATAGATTTCAGTAGCCAGAGCAAAGTCATCTGAGTACTGTGGTAAACTCTGGATGAGCTCAACCCCAAAAGAGCGGCGCTTAGATCACTCTTATGTAACTACCGAAATCTGCAGATAAGCGTGATTGGACACAACACATTTGTATCAGAGATTACACTATGGGATCTTGGCTGGATAGCTAAAAAAAACGTGCTGACACCACGGTTAGGTAGTTGAAAATTTGTGATTGGTGTTTGCTAGTTGAAGGCGGTTGGCAGCTGGTTTAGTGCTTACTAACACTCATCAGCTGGGTATATCTGCAACCTCAAAGGCACTAATGTCCGCCATCAGAGATTAAAACCGGCGTCACTCAGTGGCGCTATTAGTAACCTTACCATTGTACTATTCGATCCACTAGTGACCTCCTGTAGTCCTAAAAGCTAACCGAATTCAGTTGATCATTTTGTAGTGTGGCTGCGGGTACGCCTTTCCCACGAGTATCAACAGGTATGAAACCTAGGTTCAGGGTTCCTTGCTGGTTACCTCCAACCAACTAATGTCACTTGAAGTAAACTTTAGAAGTGAGTCTCCTAGCTTGGTGACCATATTCCAATATGGTCGACAGAATTCAGTCAGCACTCAGGAGTTAACAAGATAAAATTGGTTACTCTTGAGTAATCTAAAATCGAAATGCACTCATCTGCCTTGTGCACATTCATGCAATAGGCAATGAGTCACATCTGTCGTGTGAGGTTTAGTAATACTTGGCTGCCCAAATTTCGGTAGGTGGAGCGGGGTTCGAACCCATAGCCCACTGGTTTATAGTCATTTGTGAGTAACCAGTTAATAAAGTTGAAAAACTGCTCAACTGTAAGAGATATCAACATAAACAGTGCAATTTGTAAATGATTTGAAATTTACCGTCCTGTATAACTAACCCATCTTATAGGAATAGGCTTGGAGTTTACGAAAATGTAAGAGTAGACAGTTGGTTAATTTTCTAAATTCTATTTTCCAGTTTACCAATCTGCCAATATTATATCACATTAAATTTTTATATCCATTATTCAGATTAATAACCGTTATTGTGACTACTGCTATGTCCAACTCTGCTGCTGATGGCGTTGAACGTAAACTTGGAACTTTATCCAAAAGCGCTTCAGTCTCAGGTATGCATAATATTCTTTTTCATATGTATCTGTGTTATTTTTTTCCTATTACTATAATTCTACTCTTTCTGTTTTCAATGCATGCAATTCATAATTCTTGATTAAGTAATTCAGAGCAATGAATTCCTTGATGTAAAAATCTTCAACAATTAATTTCATCTTTGCATTTAATCTTACATACTACCATCTTCAGGTGGAAAATCTGTGCGGAAACGCTCCGCCGGTGATACACAAGGTAGTTTCCTCTATCACAATAACATTTTACTGTTGTGCATGTTTGTCACTTTCTTACTACTGATATTATAAACACATCAACTACTTTATGCACATGTTTCACTGGCATGATTTATAAATAAATAAATAAAAATGTATTTCTTATGTTTGTACATCTATTGTCTTTTTTAAAAATCTTTCATTCCACTTTGTTGAAATCATTTTACTACTGATGTGTGTGTAATCAGCGTAATGGTGGTGGTGGTGATGATTTTCGATAGTGTGATATGATAAATAACACCCTATCTGTCGAAAATTCTCGATCTAGATCATCATCAGGTATCGATTTATGTTTCTTCATTCTCATATTCCATTGATTTTTTTTGTTCATTCATAATTTTTTGTCCATCCATTTTGTTTATTATTATTATTGTTGTTGTTGTTTAAGTCGTAGTGGGAACAAAATTGCTCACTGGTAGGCAGGTACACCAAGCTGATGAGTCCCAAATGGGACGAAAACTCGAGTCCTAGATTCCACTGCTAGCTACTATACATCATTAATGCATTTTCTTTATTGTTCACTATTCTTTGGGAACGACACACATGGTCGTTATATTATTTTAACTAAACTTAATTCACTGATTTTTTTTTTTGTAGGAGCGGGTGCTGTGGATGAAGATGTATTCCGACAGTCGTTTGTACCGTCAATGTCAGTTTCGGTAAGAATGTTGCTATTAGTATGCATTGTCTCATGTGTTTTAGGTGTCTTCGGCCAAAGAACTTGGTGAAATTATGAATCGTATAAAAGATACACTTTCTGGTAATCCTGAAGAATGGGAAAAACGCGTCGAAGCGGTAATTTGATAGGTTTTCTTTTTCTGAGTTCTTCTTGTCATCAAGTTCCCTGCTAATCTTATGTTTTTTTCTGCGATTCAACACTACTTTTCTTGATGTTCAAGTTAGTACTTTAAGGAACCGCGACGTTTAACAGATTAGCCATTGAAGTACTGGAATCGACTGTAATGGGCAACACCTCCAACCCATTTCATTTCATTGATAAGATGTTATACGTGTTACTCATACTTAAGAGACTATAGCTGATCATGGATTGTGCGATTCCACAGTGAAACACCAGATCGGTCAGTAAGGGCCATTGTAAATTGATCTTCTTGTGTTGAAAATCACACTTTGTAGTTTATTAGTGCTCACAGTCTCTCTCTCTCCATCTTTCTGCTCTGTATGATTGTTTCTCATTGTTTTCATCGCTTATTCACATTTTTTCCTGCAGCTAAAAATGTTACGTGCCGTTATCGTAAATGGTGCACTGCAGTATGATGAGTTTACTTCTCTACTGAAAACACTGGAGACTTCAGTCGATCTTTCTCTACGGGATTTAAGATCTTCCGTTGTACGTGAAGCTTGTATAACTGTTGCGTAAGTTTTGAAGACTATCATTTCCTGTGTTTTTGTTGAATGACTTGGTTTATAGTCTAGTTAAAATCCCTAGTGTTAAATGTATTCCTGTTTAGTTTGTGATGAATTCTAGTTACATGTTATATATTTGGTGGTTTTTGAAACTAACTAAGCCTTTCACTTTTTGCTATCATAAGTATGATGCATTTGCTACCACAATAAAACGGTGCTCCGCTAATGGTTCCTTTGGCGTGTGACACAAGACTGGAGCTGCTGTATAAACGATGTAATTGTAGTCTTTTTAGCAAACCGATGTTGCTCATTCATTGAAGCAGAATATCCACGAATTTGTAAGTACTTGATCCAGATTACTTTTCAGCTTCACTTATTGTTGTTATACAAATAAATACTTATCAACCTGGACTACTCTGAACTGCATAATCACTTAGTTTTTCATGATTTGTATGAGGGCTGATATACTGGTCAAAGTACACGATTATCATAGGGAACGATATCCAAGCTTTTGACCTGGAGTTTTATTCATAACATTAGGATCTACATTCCAGTGGTTGATAGTAACTAGATTAGGTTCATACGCTGTTCATTTCTTCTGCACACTGGATCGCATTGGGGCCGCCGGCTTGAAACTAGGGTTTTGCAACTCCCCTAGGTAAGTCATCCATACCCCTGCTACACAAAGGCAGTAAGCAAGCCTTTTGCGGCATAGTCTCTAAAGATGTAGCAGCATAAAAGCACTTCGACAGAAAGAGCAGGCTTCACACCCTCAGTCATACTCGGCCATTCCGGGGACGATGTTTCAGCTAGTACTGTTTAATGATGTTAAGTAATCTGCATGTTAAATAATATGCTTTAGACTATCAACTTGCTTTATTTTACTAGAGAACAGCTTCATTTGTTTCTTGTTGACTAAATTTAGCCTTGCTTTAAATCTTGTCAACAGCTTTTTATCCCAAGAACTTCGTAATCGTTTTGATCGTTTCGCCGAAAGTGTCTTACAGACAATTATTGCCCTGATGTCGAATAGTGCCAAGGTTATGGCAACTAGTGGGATAGTTGCAATGCGATTTATTTTAGAGGTGAGTGAAATTTTTTGTAGTAGAGGAGTGTACTTTCATTTTTTTCTTTCCAAATTCATAATTGAGTTATGTTACACTGTACCCTGGTAAAACAATAGAAACAATAGCGTGACTGTCTATAACTGCACCACTAATATTATCGTGTAGCGTGACTCAAGTGAAGTAAGAACTGATTTGCATGATAAATAGTTTGAAGTAAATCGGTAAGGATCTAGGTTTTATCTTCGTTGGACTAGGGTTATCTACAGTCGAGATGAAACTCACTCTACTCACGAAATTCTCAGCCCTATCGTTCAATACCAGGGTTAGCGATGTCATGTATTTCTTTCCACATGATTAGTCACTAGATGGTAGTCAACCTGCATCAAGATACAATATGAACAATTTGACCATTGATACAGAATCTGATATTCACTTTGAAAATTCAGCATACCAGATTTTCTGATTTTGCTTACTGCTCGCGTCATCGGTCAGGAATTTAGGCTTTTGGTTTCCAGCTGGTGTCATGAAGTTTGAGCAGATATTCGATATTATTATTATCATCACTATTATTGTTATTATTAATCAAAGTGTAGACTGGACCATTCACAGCCTAGAGCAATAGTTTGATCAAAGTCTTTTTAGTGTTTATATTATTTTTCTTATTCTCCGGTTGAATGCTGTTTACTTTGTTTTCTGCCATCAAAAGTACTTACTATTCATTTGATTCACAAATTGGTCATCCTTAATGTTCGGTGATGTAATTTTGAATTTCGTCTTTATGGAGGGGCACTGAAAAATCCCACCTATCATTTTTACTCAACTTATTCAAAGACACGCTCTCCTAGAAGGTGACTCTTACTGTGTTATCTGAGGTGTTGGTATCTGGTTAAAATTGCCTAATCATCTGAGTATCTGGCTGTCATAGCTGCCGAGTTGTACAGTCCCCCAAATATCACCAGTATATCACTGTTCAGATGTATTAGGGTGGATTTGTTCAAATCCCATTTCAAAGTAAATAACCCCAGCGTTTATTCAATGACATGAGGCTGGAGACATGAGCCTCATCACTTCATTTACTTTGTTCGGAGCGAAGCGGTCAATCGTTTCGAGTGGTTATATATTACACTACGATAATTTTATTTTTTCTGTCTACCAGCTGATCAGAAATGATCAGGGAGTTTCGCATTATTCTAAAAATCTGTAGGTGTGATTGCGCTATTCCAGTCTATCAACAATGGTGCAATAGATTGCGAATTCTGATTACTCTGTGGGTGGCACTGTATGATAACATACTCATTCTCAACATGTATATATATATATATATATATATATATATATATATATATATATATATATATATCGAGGTTTGTTTGATGAAATGCTAATGAGTTACTTTGACCTTAAGATCTAATGTTATGATGTGTTTGTTTGGTTTCCGCCAAGAAAAAAAGGCAGGTTACCTATCGTTTATTTGATTCTACAACTTTTTGTCTTTTCAAACACTCTAATCGTAATCACTATCTTGTCAGACAATAATCGATCGAATTCCAATCGGAAACTGACATTTTTAGGGGTTGACCTGCCAATTTTAAGTGGATTATGCATGATTAAATATTTTTGTGTGGTGATAAAAATTATTATGATGGTAAAGTGACTGAAAGCATTCATGAGTATAGAAATCACATTTGTCCAGGTTATGTAATTGTGGACAATGATATATACGTCTAAAGTATTGATAATATTTCGTATAACTTCTTCATGGATTGTGAGACACAAGAATAACCTGAATAACTGAAGTGAACTAATTATGAATCTAAATTATGATATATATTGAAATGCCATCTCGTCTGTATACCAAGAACAAGGAAAGACAAAATTTGTACGCAGAACGTTTTTCTCCCTTCACTCATACATGCTACCTGTTCCTGTTAGTCGAAGATACGAACAAAATGCGGGGTCTTCTAAACACTTAGCGGAAATCTGAAGATGTTTGGCATGCATGTCTTACCTGCTAAATGTAATCTGTTGTTCCAGGACTGGTCCAGAGATAGTCCCTGTTAAAGGACTGTATCGACCACCTCACTTACTTGGAAAGCTTCATCAGTCCACCAAACGAGCTGATTATCGACTAAATCTCAGCTGAGATTCAAAAGGCCCCTTTCGCATTTCCCAACTTAAGACTCCTGTGGTGCTGGCGAGTGATCCGACTATCTATTGAAAGACGAATATTCTGCACTGTAATCCGTTCTGTCCTATGAGATATAGCTGTTAAAAGTAAACGACATAAAACGACTGCAGAGTTTCTATCACAAATGTTTTCGTAGCATCGCTCGCGTTTGATGGAATCATAGTGTGAGCAATGTTGAATTCAGGTGAAGGGTACTGAGCAAGATAGGCAATTCAGTCGATTGATCAGGTTGTGGACATTAGTCGACTGAGATGGCTTGTACATGTACTACTGATGCTTAGCCAGTGCCTACTTCGATGTCCCATGCTAGAAGGAGCTGGATTAGGTTGGAAGAGGGTTCAGAGTGGTCAAACCAAGATGTGTCAGCAGTCGATGAAGTCTCCTACTGTTTTTCTGAGTCGTGTGAACGGTAGCAGACTGCCTGGTTGCTGTCCCCGAAACGAAAGGGATCAGTGGTTGAGGACACTTGGTGAAAATCAGTTAAAATGGAGCAGATATATTCACACCTTGACATCTTATAAAGCATGAGTATTTGCAGTAACCTTTATCTTCAGATTGTTTATTTTCTCACACAACTTTGTCTACTTTAATATCACTCTGATTCTATCCACCTGTTTTTTGTGTAGTACTGTGAAGTGTGTGGCAACTTGAGTCAATTCATGTGTGTGCGAGGTTGTATGTTGATTTTGTCAGTGTCGGCCACTGAGTATTGAAAGGAGAAGAATGGTGAAAAAATCTGTGTCAATTAGGAACAATGAACGCCTCAGGTTTTAAAATGCTACATATAGTATGAAAATGTAATTTCCTACATTCAGATAACGAATAGGTTGAGAATACAATTACAAAATGAATGAAGAGGATTAATCACTAATTATTACAGCCTAACTAGTTCACTAGTTACTAGCCTGTCCTAAGCCCGGGTAAAGAGGGAAGGTTTGTCATACCGCTAGCAACCCTACCTCGTAAAACCAATCCAACCGCTACAGAAACACAAAAAAACTCATTCCTCGCTGGAATCGGAGAGACGAAATGACGCCGGTTGGTGAAAGCCTTCGGGAAACAAATTGGCCGATGTGTCTCCCCTCTCTTGATGAAAGCCAAAGTAAGGGTGGGGACATGGAATGTCCGCACTATGTTTGAACCTAGCTGACAAGGCTGCTCAGATTGCAAAGGAGATGAGAAGTTATAGTATTGAAGTTCTAAACTGTAAATCTGCGAGAGCAGGTGGAATGGAAGTGGACTTTTCAAACTGTCAACTGGAGGGGAGTCAATAATCTACTCCGATATTGTCATCCAGACGACAACCATGAGCACACTGAGTTTTGGAGTGGCTATCATGATGTCCATGAGAGCATCGACGACTCAACGATTTGGTGATTGGAGGCGAGGCAGTGTGTTCAAGCACAAGAATATCCACAAAGTGACATGGATTTCACCAGACACCTGACACACTGAAAATCAATCAGGTCGACTTCATGTCAATGTGAAGAAAGTGGAGACGCAGACAGCCTACTTGACACAAGATCAAGAAGAGGAGCAGATGTAGGTGGTCCACACAACTCACTATCTAGTGCAAGGAACCTCACTTCAAAATCAAGTTGAGAGCCTTCAAGGAAGTTGGGGATAATAGACCGCAGTTCAAGTTGAACACCCAGAACACAAACTGAACTGAAGGACGAAACTACAAACGACATCTTCACGTCAGCCATCAAGACGAAATGGGAGATATCGAGCAGCATCCCTGAAGAAACCTGTGTGGATGAACACAGGGACTCTTTGAAAAAGATATGGAAAGGAATCTTTGAAAGGAACGCTCAGTGGCCGACACTGACAAAATCAACATACAACCTCGCACACACATGAATTGACTCAAGTTGCCACACACTTCACAGTACTACACAAAAAACAGGTGGATAGAATCAGAGTGATATTAAAGTAGACAAAGTTGTGTGAGAAAATAAACAATCTGAAGATAAAGGTTACTGCAAATACTCATGCTTTATAAGATGTCAAGGTGTGAATATATCTGCTCCATTTTAACTGATTTTCACCAAGTGTCCTCAACCACTGATCCCTTTCGTTTCGGGGACAGCAACCAGGCAGTCTGCTACCGTTCACACGACTCAGAAAAACAGTAGGAGACTTCATCGACTGCTGACACATCTTGGTTTGACCACTCTGAACCCTCTTCCAACCTAATCCAGCTCCTTCTAGCATGGGACATCGAAGTAGGCACTGGCTAAGCATCAGTAGTACATGTACAAGCCATCTCAGTCGACTAATGTCCACAACCTGATCAATCGACTGAATTGCCTATCTTGCTCAGTACCCTTCACCTGAATTCAACATTGCTCACACTATGATTCCATCAAACGCGAGCGATGCTACGAAAACATTTGTGATAGAAACTCTGCAGTCGTTTTATGTCGTTTACTTTTAACGGCTATATCTCATAGGACAGAACGGATTACAGTGCAGAATATTCGTCTTTCAATAGATAGTCGGATCACTCGCCAGCACCACAGGAGTCTTAAGTTGGTGAATGCCAAACGAGCTTTGTTTATCCTATCTGCGGTTTTATCAGCTCATTGGGTACATGTTTCTGTCTGTCTTTATTCACTATGCACGTGTTTCTTGATAGTACTTTTGAGTATTTTTGATTGTCTCCTTTTTCATTCCTTTGTGAATTTTAATAACTCGATTCGATAAATCAGTGTACTCTCTTCTTATTTGCTTAGTCTGTCTGTCTAGTGGAATAAAGAACTGAATCAATTACTTGTGTTTTCTTTGAGAATTTACTGAAGGAAGCAAAAGACAGGTATGCAGCAAGGAGTGTTTATTGTCAACAAGTGGGATAGTAGTCGTTAAATATGGTACACCTTGCACTAAAACCGTCATTTTTACAAAATATGCTCCATTTCCTCATCTGCTTCTATCTTGATTTGCTCTTAATACGCCCGCACTGTCTTTTGCGTTTTTCTGGGCAGAATCCTTACCTATTACTGGTAATTCCCTATGATTTCTACCACCATCTCAACATATACTACTTATATCCATTCTTGTCAGCAAGAAACCATAAAATCAGTATACTGTTAAGCTCATTTGGAAAGATGGAGATTTTCTCATCACTGCCGACTGCCTTCGAATCATATAACATAGTGTCACCAATGAGTAGTAGTGGTATGTGCGCTTTTACCGCACTCTGTTCAGGTTATCGAGATCATCTTGAACTAACATTCGATTACTGTATGGTTTGACTCCATGTTTTAGACTCATGAATATGAAGTCTTTTATGTCCCTCCTCCAGCAAATACCACATATCATAGCCGGAAGTCTATGGTTGATCACCTCAATACAACTTTTTCATTATCGAACCTTAGCATTCACATATAATGAGTTTGAAACCTTGAAGGATCAGGGATATGTACTTTTCAAGGTTTCCAAAGAGACGGATGAAACGGCTGTTCACCACCTCCTACTTTTCCATGCTTTCTTAGTTCGGTGTCAATTCATGGTGAAAATACACATTTTGGTTTTTGTCCCATCATTGATGAATATGTATTGTCAATATTTAAAAAGCAGTTTTAATAAATATTTTTTTACTTTGAAAATAGTTCTCTCTTTCCTTCATTTCTACAGAACACGTGTTCATCTCGACTTCTTCCTATCCTTACTTCTTCATTATTATCAAAATCCAACGTTACCAGAAAGTAAGTTATTTTTCCATATATCTGTATTATCAATTTGACTATCTGAAATAGCCATAGTTCAGCAGACTTGCATTGATAATGCGTGGTGATTGAAGGTGAAATAAATATCTGGTCACCAGTTGGGTCTCGTATCTCAATTGATAGAGCACCACCAAGTTGCTGGTTCAAATGCTACTGCGGTTCAAATTTTCATTTCACCTTCAATCATCTGTTGATTATATTTCACGTGTATGAGACCATCTATTCGCTTGCTGTTGAGTATCCATTTTGTTATGCTCAGTAAGTTGAACCTGTTAGAAAACTGTTACCAACACAACCCTGAAACTAGCATTTCGATTAAAATATAGTGATTATCTTATCATCTCCTAGTGATTAATTATTAGAAAAATCAAAGCAAAGACGTAAAAGAATAACCAACAAATGCCTTCACTTGGTTGATCAATTCTGAAATGAAAGTAATCCATAACACACCTCATTTTAGGTAATTTTCAGTATAACGTTTAGTCTAAACACTTTGGAATGTTGGTTTTATGCAACTGAAAATCGAATTCTAGCACATGGTTTACATATCGTGAACTGAAGTCGTATTCGATATACGTTGGGGTTTTTCTTTGCATTTAGCAGTAACTAATACTTAGAATCAGGTCACTGTATAAAGCTGTGTGCTACTTCTAAGCACTCTAACCGCTATTGTGTGTGTGTGTGTGTGTGTGTGTGTGTGCCTACAAGTCGCCTTTAGGTTTGCAGGGCGGAGGTATATAATTAACCGTTGTATTTATTTCTTTGGGTGTAAATACCCAGTTTTACAATCAAAATCATGGTTAATCACATAACTTAGAGACTCGGAATACCAATAATAATAATAATGGTAATAATGATAATAGCACTATTACTATTGATAACAATGAAGCGACCTTGACAACTCTTCTACAAAATTGTATACTCAATATTCCTGCATATATTTGGCTCATTTGATAAAATTGGATAAAACGTGTATAAAAAAATTTGCTAAATATAAGTTTTTTTAATTCCGTTTCATTGGTTTCTTTCACATCTGAAAACAGCAATGAAATAGTATACTTTAACTGCAGATAAACGGTGATTCTTTTATTACCGTTAGGCTATTTGAATACCGAAAATCTACCCTTACTTGGATGGATATTAATACTGCACAGGAGTAGAATTAAGAAGAAGGGGTGGGGGTGGGGGGGAATAAACCATTGAAAACATTTTGCCGAATCGATTAGCATCATGTTTTCCTTTATCGATTGAATTAACGAATTTGTTTATTTTAACACCATTTCAAAATAACACCAAGAAATACACTACACAATACTATCTCAACATTATGAGGATTATTAATATTATTATTAGAAAACAAATGTGCTACAACAAGGGGACCAAGAAATGCTCCACACAAAATCACATAACAACAGTATGAAGACACAAAGTGGAGGGAAGTGAATGAAAATAAAACACAATAAGAATAGAATGATTAGAAGGGTGGTCCAGTTAGATATATTCTAAACGAAAGATTCATTACTTTTAGCAACAGAATATAGAAGGAAGCAACGGCATGACCGCCACTGAGTTGCGTGATCTCTCGGAACCAACCCAGGGAGTCGTGATGCACCAACAAATGCTAACCCGACACAACTATCCTTCATCTCACGGCGCTACGTCATGCATTGACCACTCCTCCGCTTCTCCCATCCTTTCGCAGGGGTAGCAAACAATGGATGGTATGGAAGTCGTTTGGACGACATGTGTAACACATGTCGAAGCCATCGAAGCCGGTGTTTCCAGATGACTTCACTTATTGAATGATGATCTTTATCGTGCTCAAACACGCTGTCATGTCTCACAACAAGCGATGTAGTGTTGCCACCGGATAAGGGCAATCTTAGGAAGACAACGATGATCGAATATACAGGACCGTCACATATCCTCAGTTCGAAGAGACCAGGTTTTACAGGCGTACACTAGAATGGCGTTCATCGAAGCTTTGTAAACCCGACCTTTTACTGTCAGACTAACGTGGCGACGGCGCCAGAGGTGACGGAGATTGGGGTATGCCACTCTGGCGTTCTATGTGAAGTAAAACTGACCAGTTGGAATAGAAGCACATGCTGTCATTCTCTAGAAACACAATACTTTTAACTATCACAGCACGATCGCCACTAGTTTCTCTCCTCAGCCTTATCTGATATCTTTTGAAACCACCGAGTTGCATACTCTTTTGGATACCAGTCTTTCACTTCACAATGTCAGTCGATGTATGGACTAACTACTCCTCTCTTCTTCTGACCAATCCCAGTGCTACGAACTGTAAACGATACACAATCCAGTTGAGACAGTATACGTAAGATGTGTTCAAGCCATCAAAACTGACACTTCCAACTGGATATGGATGATTGTGAAATTTCCTTCGCTTCATTGAATTATCTTATCTGTCCACTAATTGTGGACGGTTTAGAGCGTTTTTCTGCGTGACCATCACTCTAAACTCTTAGCTGTTGTTGTCACAGTATATATGTTTCCTCTGATAATAATTGGTCCCCTGCTGTTTGTTTTATTTGTCTCTGCAGCCAGTTAATCTTAAGTTTTATGAATCCTTTTGGTCTGAAGGTATACTGCCAATGATGAAGTATTGTATAGATTCATAAAGCAGACTAACAGAGACATTTCTTCAAATTGTTTTTCCCCTCCCTGTTTTTTAGATGCATTTGTGAATTTTTAGAAATTATTTTCCGATGTTGGCCATTAAATGTTCTTGAGAAAAATTTAACTACACTACAAGATGCTTTAAAACGCGGCATTTCAGATGCAGATCAAGAAGCCCGTTTGTCTTCTCGTCGGTAAGTTAGAAAAAAAAGCTAATTGATAGAGATGAATTTCTTCCATTTTTTTTAGTTGTCGGGCTAAATCCACTTTTTTTTTAGCTTTTCATTAACTCACACTTTGCCACACTCTCTACATACCGTGACCTGCATAACCAGGTAGAGTATCATTATGTCTGATATATTAGATAAATGTACACCTTAAATTTATCTCACACACTTTATCCATAAACACTGTATGCGTTTACTCATCAGCTTTGATTCACCAACTGGTCATCTCTGGTAAGAAATGCGAAATTCATTATTAAAATGAGTACTCATAAACTTACTCTTGTCTTTGTCGAATGTTTTTCTTAGCGTCTTTATGATAGAGTAGTATAATGACTTAGTATCAGATGTTTACAGATAGTCGAGGTGTGACTCATCAGCTTGCACTGTCAACTTCTAAGCAATAGGTACTGGGTTCACTTCCTGCTCTACCTATTTCGGCTTGAACAACTGAGTAGTAGTATAGGGTAATCGTGATTTATAGCCTGTCACATAAAAGGCTGGACCAATTTGTGCTGCATTATATTATATCCATATTTTAAACTCTTGTAAAATTCAGACTCTTAGCTGCATGGGATTATTGTACAGTTCAATTTGGGGGGTTGTGGAGGGATTTATTGATTTTAAGTTGGTATTCATCATTTACTGGCATCAGTTGGAAGAACATCGAAAACCTGGAAGAACTGGACAGCTATTTCGTCCTAGTATGGGACTCCTCAACAGTACGCACTCATGACCCTTCCCCACTTGGAATTGAACTCAGGACTTTCTGTTTCCGCAGGCAGTACGTTACCATTGAGCCACTGGGTTGGAATGCAATGGTCTATGTTTCCGATTGAACAGATGCTTTAATGGGATCTCAGATGACCTACTGTAATTCAAAATACAGCATTAGTTGCCTTTCTTTACTCAATGGAAGTGTTTGTCTGTGCGATGATTTGTGTATGCTGTTCTCTGGATTACGGATTCATTTTCTTGACGGACACTAGTCACCAGATAACCTAATTACAGCGTTTCATCTTGAATGCCTTTAAATACCCAAGGCTAAGTACTCCATCCATCTCAGTTCTGTTTTAATTATTTTAACAAGATTATTACATAACTTAATGCATAGAATCAAATGTGTCAGACATTCGCTTCCCTTAGTAATGATAATGACGTAATATAATTTAAATATTCACAAAATAGATGAAAATTTGAAAACCAGGATTAACAGTAAGGTAATGATTCGAGGAAATACATAATTAATTATCACAAGTATTCGTCAAATTCAACGGGAACTTATCTCTCGTAATCCTATGTAGTTTTCTGCATATATATATATATATATATATATATATATATATATATAGTCTCCCTTTTTTGATTGCACCACCTTGACGTGGTGGTCGGGCTTGCATATCACAGTGACCCAACGAGCTATGCTGGTGGAACACTTGTTCCCTCAAGGTTCTAACCATACCAGAAAGGTCTGTTGGATAGTGATTAGACGAAAAGCAGTTACCGTTGTTGTGTAAATTACTACACTATGGTGGGATCTGAGGGCGAAGTCGTACTGCTGCTAGCTGGATGGGGTATGACAGCTGTAAGGGGTTTCCCTTGAATGGCCAGCAGTGCCATGCTGATGCTGCCTTCTCAGTGGAAGGGGGGGTTAGAAAAGGTCGGCCCCAAAAATAACACACTCCACCATGCCCCACGGTCTGCCGGGCCGGCGGTGTTGGTTCATTCGTCGTTTCCTTTCGACCATCCGGCCCCAAAAATACAAAAGTTCAAAATAATCATACTCAAAAGGCTGGGTGTGACAGGCCTCAAGCAGATGTCCGATGGGCTCTGCGGTCACACAAATCTCTTTCAGGTACCTCAAGAAGAAATAGCCTTCCACGGTGTGGGCAACCGGGAAGTGTCAACCGCCCTCACAACTCTGTCAGCACCCAAGTTTCCTCTGACTGCTATCCACCTCCTCCATCATTACCTTCTAATCTTCCTTCACGTCTCTTAATTAATGATGCTGCATCATCTTCAATTTCTCCTAGTTCTGCAGCCTTTGACAACGATCTGAGTTCACAGGACAGCATCCTTGGTCTCCTTAAACCACATTCCAAATTACATATTGGAGCGTTGAATATCCGTACCCTCCGTCAAATTGGTCAACAGGCTTCATTGGCAAAGACTAGCAACTCGGGCCATGGATTTGCGATGTGTTTGTGAGACACGCATACAGGACCCAGACAGGACTAGCACAAATTTCAGACACAAAGAAAGACACTGTCTGGCGTGGCGTCCACCTAGCTAAACTCAGCGATGGACACAGATAGACCACATTGCTATTGGTCATCGCTGTAGAGGATCGGTGGAAGACTGTCGCTCCTTGTAGAGTACATGTTTGGATAGTGACCGGGCGTTGGTCGGAGCGCGTATATGCCTGCATCTCAACGGAAGTAGGAAAGATTTGGCAACAAAACCACTACGAGTGCTGCTGGTCAACGAAAACACCAAAGCTGTTTCCAGTGAGAAGTTGTCTAGGCAGTTTTCGGAACAAAAGACTATCACTCATCCAGAAGAAGCTTGGTACCATTTCCATTCTGCTGTAAAAGCAGCGTTGAAGACCGTAGCCGACTCCAAAATAGTGGCTAAAAAGAGCCATTGGATATCAGCAGCTTCTTTCGAACTACTGGATGCACGTGAATGCATTCCTGCAGGCTCTGAGTACAATGAAGAGCGAGCGGAACTTAAAAGTAGGTTGTGAAAAGTCTACGCAACGATTGCGAACAGTGGTGGGCAGCGAAGGCTAAAGAGATGGGAAGGGCAGTGTCGACTGGTAACAGTAAACGGTTATTTAGACTGATTAAGGAGGCTGCGGGGAAAAGGTTCACTGCGGTTAGTGAGGCTATAGCGGAGAAAGAAGGATCTGCGATTCACTCGCAAGGGAGACGACTAGAACGATGGACAGAACACTTCGAGGAACAGTCTAACTGGCCTCCAGCCACGATTGCATTGCCCGTTATCCAGTCGGATCCTGAATGGGACATGGAGATAGGCCCCCAACACTAGGAGAAGTCGAGAAAGCAGTAGGTAACTTGAAACGAGGAAGGACGGCAGGGCCAGACAGACTAACTCCTGAGGTATACAAGAATGGTGGTAGAGTGCTCTTAGTCAGGTTAACGGAAGTGTTAGCCTTTATATGGGAATCAAATACGATTCCCTCTGACTGGTCTAAGTCACTCATTATCCCAGTCTTCAACAAAGGCGAGAAGTCCTCTTGTGATAACCACAAAGGAATCAGCCTGACGAACATAGTATCTAAGATCCTAAGTTCTATAATTCTCCGACGCCTGAGTGGAGCTCGGGAACAGCAAGCCCGAGAAAACCAGGCAGGCTTTAGACCTGGCCGTGGATGTATCGACCAAATATTCACACTGCGCCAGGTCCTGGAACATAGGCATGCTTACAGACGCCCGACAATAGCTGTATTTCTCGACCTGAAGGCGGCATTTGACTCCGTTGATCGAGGAGTCTTATGGCAATATCTCTCACTGAAAGGCGGGCCTAGTAAGTACGTCACCCTTTTGAAGGCTCTCTCCTCGAGTACTCGGCGTGTTAGAGCCTATGGTGAGATGTCCAGTGGGCTATGCTCATCGAGTGGTGTCTGTCAACGGTGCGCACTGTCTGTTTTGTCATTCAGTTTCATCATAGATATTCTTATGAAGGTTTCCCTCTCGTCTCCTGATTACACAGAGGTTGACCTAATCGGCGGAGAATTTTCATTAAACCCAGAGTATGCAGATGACACAGTCCTGTTGTGTTTGGGATGCGATTTTCACCACCCAAACGCAAATGTTTGCTCCGGGACTGGTCTTCAGCGGTGCTGCGGCTAAAAGTAGAGAGTGAAGTGGTTGAGTGTGTTGACCACTTCACTTACCTGGGAAGTAGGATCAGCCCTGGTGACTAGCTCAGCGGCCGATGAAACCTCTGCACGGATACAAAAGGCTCGATTGGCTTTCGCCAACTTACGCCACCTATGACACCGCCGTGATATCCGATTGTCTACTAAGGGTCGCGTGTACTGCACAGCAGTCCGGTCTGTTCTGTTGTATGGCTGTGAAACATGGCCATTGAAAGTGGAAGATCTGAGAAGGCTTCAAATGTTTGACGACCGTTGCCTTCGTAGTATACACGCCATATTCCGTGGAGTCTCCACGTGAGTAATGCAGAAGTCAGGTGTAGAGTTTTAGTGAGTAGAGGTAAATCAGTTGACGAGGTTGTGAACCTTCATCGACTGAGATACCTGGTTTGTACACGTGTTAAATATACCTAGTCGCCTATTGCCTTGTCACACAATGTTGGCTGAGGTGGGTCCAGGCTGGAAAAAGGCCCGAGGTTGCCAGACTAAAACATGGCCCTAATGTATAAAGTCGTTGACTTTTGGTTTGAGCCATGTGGGGCGATGCAGACTAGGTGGTTGGGGTCAGTGGGATAAGAGGAACCAGTGGTTGGAGACTGACTCTAGGTGTTATGGCTGAGGACCGATGTCAATGGCAGAGATGTATCCCCATACACATTATCTTCATCTTAACACTATATCGAATCTCACCATTTTCTCATTCTTCCTTTCTCTATTTTCGTACTTTATATTTCGTTGCATTATTTTTCGACAATATTTTTGTTTCTTTCATTTGTTTTCATCATCCTAATGATTAATCTTTCTTTCTCACTTTCATATTTTTCAGTGCATTTCCATTGTTTGCTGCTAAATTTCCTGAACATGCAAATAAATTTTTACAAAATCTTGATGTTCAAAAACGTAAACTCATTGAAAAAGATTTAATCGCAGCAGGATTATCAGAAGTCACCAGTCCTGGAGACACGGGATCATCTCGAAGTCAATCAAGTAGTCAATCGAATTTAGCACAACAAAACACTCGACGACCAATTCGACCTGTGTTAGGCACCAGTTCGTTGATCAATAGTAGTCGCAGTCGTCCTCCAATCACTAATCAGAATGACTATAATACAGGTAGATTCGATAGATATTGATTCTGAACAGAATCCTAATTTTTCTTTTTCTTTACAAGAATTTGAAGTGTGTTTACACCTAGTACTTTTGTTTATTTTCCAAATTGGATTCATACACAACAAGTTCATGCTAAACAAAACTAGTGATGAGATAATGTTTAGATCTGAGGCGGTGGTCATGCATATTTTGAAATGTACTCATGAATCGTGAGTTATATTTGACTCATCCTGAAGAGTTTAAGCGTTTTAATCTGGATATTCACTGTGAAATTATTTTTGTTTATCGTCATTATGGCATATTTTAGGTTTATTTCAGAGTTTTAATAGTGTTTTAATCTAGGTAGCACATCACCAACCTAAAACTGAACAACATTGTAGTCTGTAAGAGCTGTGGCTCACTGGTTTAAGGAAATGACTATCAACCATCGGGTCACGGGTCCAAACCTTGCTCCACCTACTGAGGTTAGGGGAGCCGGGTAGTACCATTCACCCTCACACAGTAAGTGTGGCTCATTTCGTACTGCACGGATCTGCCCAAGGTAGTTGAGTGTGTTTCCTTCCTTCCTGTGTAAGTCATAAAAATGATGATATGCATCCCATGGTTGTATTACTGGTTACCGCCTCCAATTCAGCTTTTTTGTTTGTAGTCATCTTTTCGGCAATGCATGAATTGCTTGAAAGCATATCAAGGCGAAATTCTTATACTGTAGCGATAATAAAGTTTGTAAGAATGTTGTTGCTTGTATGTTTCCTGTACCCGTCTCACAACAAGTGACTATACTGGCTCGGTGGTCTAGTGGATAACGCTTTGACATTTGAAAAGATGTCCCGAGTTCGAGTCCCAATAGAAACAAGGTGAATCACTGAGAAGCAGTTACATCCAGCTGACGAGTCTAAAATGGGATTAAACGAGCGTTCTTGACTCCCCCCTAACCACTATCCATCATTAATAAAGTTCGTAAGAGATAACAAAAGCTGTAGTAGTGAAATGACTTTTCAGTAAGCCGCTTAGCGATTCTTATGTATCTTCATGATTAATTTAAACTGTTCAAAGAAATGCTAGTGATGTGTTTGTTCTGTGGTTGATATTTACATTAAGTTGAACTGAACTACCTGTAGAATAACTATCAGTTCTCATCACTGCTGCTTCTCGAATTCGCGAAAACGATAGAAGGCGGAAATATGAGCAGAAGTTTATTGATAAATTCATGTACGTACAGGACAATTTAAAAATGATTTACAAATTGCATGGTTCACGTTGGCATTTCTCACAGCTGAGTAGTTTTTGAACTGTTTGACTATAGTGTCAACAAGGTTTCCACTGGAAACTATTCAGTCGAGACTACAAGGCGTAACTTCTGACACTGAAGTATCATGAACTAGCGCAAGATACTACAACTGAACAACTTGAGTGGTTAGAAACCAGTCAGGCTGATCTGTATTATTTCGCCAGCCAGATCAGAGCGATCTAAACACCGAACGGCCGTTTTGTAATCTCAGCTGAAAGTGGTTTCCAGCGAAAACCATGTTGACACCATAGTCGGGCAGCTGAAAAACTACGCGATTCTGAGAATTGTCAACATGAACTGTGTAATTTGTAAATCATGAGCAAATTGATCATTCTATTTCAGGTATGTCGGTCCATGCAAGTCAGCTAGCCATATTCACGTGATCTGAATTAATTTGGCTCTATAAGCTGGATTTGTTCGGGTACACCGCCGATGAACTCGGTCCCAAACGAGTGGGATGACCGTCCGGTGTTTAGATCACTCTGATCTGGCTGGCGAAATAATACAGATCAGCCTGACTGGTTTCTGACCACTCAAGTTGTTCAGTTGTAGTATCTTTCGTTATATACAAGACACTTGTATTTATGTATGTGCAGGTAGCCTTGATATATTCCACATTATTCTGAAGCGTCTTAAATTATTGTTTTCTCTGATTTATCCAATCAGGCATTCATATGTATAGTCATATGATTAAGTGAAAAATTCTGATTGGTTTTGAATGCATTCAGTGATTTCTGGCCTATTTTGGAATCTAGAGGGAGGTTATTAGTTCTAAGAATAACAGCTTTGTTACCCTAATCTAACTCGCCCTCGAACTACCTAAAACTGTTGACAAAAATAGACAAGTTGGAACGATAGGGGATTATTGATCCATGCCTTCATACTGGACAGAGAACAAGGGTAGACGGAAATCAATAACAATATGACAGCGAAAAAGGTAATTTTGAAGATAATCCTGAATTAAGGAGACGATGAGAAGAGAGTAAGAACACCGAATAGTGAGATATTCATTGCACACAACAACAACAAGACTTCTAGATGTGTCGTAACAGTTAGTTCAATTCTGCTATACAAACCTGATTTTTATATATTGGGCTATCGTCTTATGTATAGTGGAATCATCGTGCAAGGCAAGGAAGGCAACCAGACTGTAGACTTTCATCTCCTGAGGAGACTTGATGTTTTGCATACGCCGTTCCACTCACTGCCTACCTCAACGCGTTATCTTAGCCGAAATAAAGAATACGTTGGAAGGAAGCTCGTGATGGTTAGACGGAGACATGACTCCAGTCGATGAAGTCTTAGACTGTTGGTCTGAGCCATATAGCGAGATTCAAGCTACCTGGTTAGGATCGTTGAGGTATGGTTGAAAAGCGATCACAATAGCACAAGTGTGTACACTCTTCGCCATCTTCGAATTCTTGTAAATTTTTACTAACTATTAGTCACTTATGTTCTCTCCTCTTATATACTTTCATCAAATTTCATTTGATTCGTTTTCGATTCATTTTTTATTTGTATGCTGTTGTGAAGTGTAACAAGTTCAGCTGAGATACTTCTATGTGAAGTTCCATGTTGATTTGCATCTCTGTCTATTGGCTTACTATTTATTATGGCGAACTTGCACTGCCTATCATAGCATAACCTTTTGCTCACTTTTCCATAGTCGGTCGTTATGTGCGTCAAGGCTCAGTTGTGTCGAATTATGATGGTCGAGCGCGTCAGGCCGGTAAAAAATTGGTCTCTCAATCGCAACGTAAGTGTATTCTCTTTTAAATAACGAAACATGCCCATCGAGAAGAGAAGAGATAATTTAACGAATATAATTTTCCCTACTCGATGATATCATTTACTAGAGCTGTACAATCATATTTATATACATCACAAACACATACTAATAGTCTATTATTAAACAATAGTTGCAAACAGTAATTGCATCATTAAGCTGATGCTATAAAACCGGAATGAAGAATGGGAAGTAGTTGCGTGATGATTTTTTAGACAGGGTAAATAACGTGGAAGGCAGGTAGTTTGATAAGGTGGAAATTGTTGGTAGGTGAGAAAGACGAGTGTTGAGTATCCACTTGACAACAGATATGGATAGATGGATGGATGAATGGATGTAGAGAAGTTGAAGAATGAGACAAGAGTCATAATGAAGGTGATAATAATGACAAAGCAATTGATTATAATGAAATTGACATAGAGTAGTGAGAGTGTTAGGATGATGGTAAGACAAGAGATTGTACATACTTCTTCTACACACAGAGATGAGGTTTGAGATGATGAATGAGTGAGTGAGTGAGTGAGTGCTTCAGGTGTGCAGGTGTGTTGAAGGCGTACTCCTTTTGAACTATTCCATTTGACAATGGTCGAACTGTCTGTCCCGGAGTTGTCGAAATGTTGAAGAATTGAACTGTTAATTGATTTACATTCCCTCCTCGACAAGGATGTAGGATAGTGTTCAGGGGTAGGTTTGTAAAGTGTGTGGTTTGTGCAGTGTATATAAATAACTAGGTCCACAGAAGGAAGTAAATGGAGGTGACCGGAAGCGGCAACTTGTGCTTAAGGCACTTTGGAACGAGTTGGAGATTGTAGGAGCTGCTGGTGTGTGGTTTTGTAGAGAAGTATGTCTTCTTCAGTGATCTGGACAGTTGATTCTTGATGATCTCTGCTGTTGTATCGGTTTTGAAAGCAAGGTCTTTGGAACTGTGAGTACGTGTTGCGTATTGTGTTTTAATTTCACTTTCTTCTGAATAAATGTTGATGGGTATGGATTTAGCATGATAATGTTTGGTAGTTTGTCACTTGTGAATAATCTTCTAATTCTTGAAGATGAAGAATTGATCATATTATTTTTTGTGGTTGGAGACATGGAGCTGTGAAAAATCAAGTGATGTTGATTGCATATAGGCTTCTTGTAATTTGATCGTTGAAGAGAACCATCTGGTCTCCGTTCCAGTGAGACATCGAGAAAACGGAATGCAATGATGCACTGTTGTTTAAGAATAGACTGTTATATGTTTATTATATAGATATAAATATGATCATACAACTTTAAAAATTTTTATTATCGAAGGAAGACAATTTTCTTCACTGAATTATCTCTTCTTTTCTCTTTTAAATATATATATCCACGACATTCCATTCAGTGACTTATCACTTCGGTTATTTTAAAAAGTTCCCTGTAGTATTTGGTGTGAATAAAACCTGATGTCTACATAATTCATATTACTTTTCTTACCTGAAATTATCATTGAACAAGTCTTGATTGTATTTAGCTTTCCTTATTGATGACCATATTGTGGTTAACTTGTTATCATCACATAACACAACCCCCCCCCCCCATGAATATCATTTATAATTATGCACTTTTTGTGTCTAATTCAGTTTAGGGGTGTAATAAATTCTCATTGTTTTAGTTGTATCACTTCCTAATTTCTTCGGTATATTGTGAGTTGTTTTAATTAACTTACAATAAAAAAAACAATGCAATTTGTTTCAATTCACTAATGATCTTTACTTTTTTTTTACATTTTACAAATTGAACAAATTCTTTGTTAAGATCATCATTATACGTGTACACATTTATGTACATGCCAAAATAAACAGCTGATCACTTATTATTATGCAGATGATAGCATGTGATTTCGTCTACCAGTAGTAGTCACACGTCATTCAATAGAAGATAACGAAATTCCCTTCGCTTACGCCTAATTTTTCTGGAACACCTAGATTAATAAACATATGATATGCACTTCACTGTAATGTATCGATGCAGTGATTGGTCTTTGTTGTTTTTAGCTGGTGTCTTTTTTTATGGGCGACTTTAAAGGCCACCCTAGCAACTGGTAAGATAGTCGATTCCTTTATTTTGTGGAAAAGTACTTTCTTGACCGTAACACCAAAGCCTGATTAGTCCTTTCAGCAGTTCCTAGGGTGGCCTTTAATATCATTCATTGAATGACTTTAAAGTTCACCCTGCTTCGATGTGGTGGAGTTAGAAAAGGTCGGCTATAAAAATAACACACTCCACCATTCTCCGCGGTCTGACACTGCTGCCAGTATGGGTTCTCTCTATCCAGCGTTAGAACAACTGAAACTCTAAACAACATCCCATACAAGATTATGTGTGACAGGCCTCAAGCAGATGTCCCATGGGCTATGAGGTCACCCAAACCGTTTTCTCTGTTTTGAGTACCTTAAGAAGAAATAGCCTTCCATGGTGTGGGCAGCCGGGAAGTGTCAAACTACCACATGCTTCCAGTAGTACACGAGATCCAATCACACAAAACCTGTCCTCCTCAAATCTGTCTCCCCCTTCGCCTACTGATACTGATACTAGTCTTCTTGCTCCTTACTTTTCAACCATTGCCAACGACCAAAGCCATCGAAACCTCATTCTTAGTCTCTGAAGATGTTTCCATTGGTTTCATGTAGAAGCTTTCAACGTCTGAACTCTATACCACATGAGACAGCAAGGATCGCTCACCAAAACTCTGGAATCTCTAACCATTGATGTATGCCGTGTCTTTGCGACACGTATACAGGACCCGAGTGTGGTTATTAAATTGACGTCATTCGGCTATAGCAGTGAGTCTACAAAATTCACCTTAAGAGTACTCGGAGACACAATGACTAGCTCTCGTTTAGACATACCATGTGAGTTGTAGAGCAGAAAATGCGCGTTTGGACTGGATTCCAGTAAACAACCGTCTATGTGTTGTTCGACTGAATAGATCTGTTAGGACTAGGAAGGGTCCTGAGATTAGTGAATGCCTATTAGTAATCTACGCCTACCCACCCACCGACTGTACTTCGGATGATGCAAAGGATGAATTTTATGAGAAGCTGTCAACTTTACTACAGAGAGCAAAACGTTCAGATTTAGTCATAATGGCAGGTGACTTAAACGCTCAAGTAGAGAATTTGAGCCAATCGGAAAGACATTTTGGAGGTATCTACGGAATCCTATGCTAACAAACTGACCACAGTGATCACTTGTTTATGATCAGCACTAACTTTAAGCATAAGGAGAGACATCCACCGACATCGAACCGACGATGGACACATATAGGTCACATTGCTATAAGCCATCTTTGAAGAGGATCATCGGAGGATTGCAGCCCTTTATGAAGTACCAGTTTGGACTCCGATCACGCACTAGTACGGATTCGTGTATTTTGCGCCTTACTGGTTGCAGGAAACGAGGCAGTGAGCCCTATCTGTGCTCGATATGTAGACGAGGGCGCTAAGTACGCATTAAGGGTTGAGTTAGATAAGCATTTACCTGAAGATGGCAGCAATGCTCATCCTGATGAAGCCTTGCCTGATATTAAGTCTGCTGTAGAAACAACTGGAAAGACAGTTGGTAACCTACATCCGAAGATTAGATGGAAAGGGCATCAGCGTTGGATAACACTCGGCAAGTGTTTTGGTTTATTAAGGATATCGTCAAGAAGAAGACGATGGTTAGTGAAACAACTGAAAAGGATGAGACACCGATAACCTCCCAGGAGCTTGCTGGTTGCTGATGAGGTTTCAGCTGGGATACAAAAGGCCCGTTCGGCATTCGCCAGCTTGCGTCACCTGTAGCACCGGAGCGATATCTTACTGTCTATCGAAAGACGAATTTGCTATGCTGCAGTCCATTCTGTCTTGTTGTACAGCTGTGAGACATCACTGTTGAAAGTAGAAGACACGAAATGATTGCTGGCTTGTGGTCACACTGATTTGTCTTCATTGACATCACTTTTTTACCCACTTTTTTTTACTAGTGTAAAGTGTTGAAACTAGCCGATGCATATGTGTACGAGATTCTATGTTCTACGAATTTCACATTTATATCATTTCATCCAATTTGTCTATAATTGATCGAATGCAAATAATTCATGTAGCCACGAAAGACAACAGCAACGTTAATCGAGACTGCATTATTCCAAAATCTACTAGCTATTATTTGTAGTTTTGTTCTTCAAATTTTCTAGCTTGGTCTCCTGTGAATAAATTTCTCTATCTAAATTTCCTGTTCAGTGTAACTGTATAAAAGCGATAAAGTTAGGTTACTCTAAAGAAGTATTTGTGGAGGACAAGTTTGTTTTACTGCTGAACGTTCTATCTGTTGAATTAAATTTTTTTAATATGATCTCTTATTGAGATATCTTTTGTTTTTCTTCGCATAATATACATTTAATGCTAGGCATTTCTTTGGAAACCTTGCATAAACAACGAAGTATGCTTGGCCAGTGTGTGATAGCGAATTTCGCTGTACCAACTGGACTGAGAATACTGCCAGGATTCGAATCAGGAGAACTACAGCATACTGAAGAGAATTTTATAGAAATAAACGATGACTTACAATCACTTAACATGATCTCGTTAACTTTTTCTGACCATACTACAACAACTTCAGGAATATCTACAGCAGCAGCAACGGCTATTACTACTGTTACTGATAGTACCACTTACAGATACATTAATAAATCGGTGGCCTCTAATGGTAATAATTTACCTGAGTTGTTTGGTTTACTAATGAGTATGTTTTGTTCAAGATTTTTCGTTTACTGAAGTATATTGATCCATAAGTTACTTCAGTTTCATCACTTTCCTTTTTCCCCCCTTCATCTTTTTTTTAGCTACTAGTCGTGAAGTCTCTCCTTCACGTCTAGCTTATTTTGCATATGGTTCTGGAAATGCAGTAACAAACAATGTGATGATTGATTCACAGAAAACTCCACTTCATTCAATGAATAGTCGTAACGGTGGAGTTGGACTGAACACTACAGAACGTATTCGTTTAGGCATGAGTTCACGTGTTCCTCGAAGTCAAGGTGCAAGTCGTGAACCATCACCTACGCGATCAACAGCAAGCGGATATACAGTGTCTTCACTTCAGCATAATAATATACAGCCTAGTGGAATTGGACAAATGAATTATCGTAAACAACAAAGACGTTAGTTTTCGTTTTACTGCATTTTTAACACCTTAAGTTTGTTTTATTCTCCCCGTTATCACTTGTTATAACTCTTTGATGACTATATGTGCAGAAGCTAGGACAATAACTTTCAGATTTCACCCCTTGCTGATCGCTTAGTTTCTGGATAAATGTGCCATAACGCCAACAAATATATACAAAGTAAAATGGTTTATATACATTTACACTAACCTTGCCTATTTCCAAGCCTCTCTAGATTTCAGTGCCCAATTGATTTTCATCTCTTCAACCAATCTGATATTTACACATTCGTTCACATGCTTCCTCTTGAAACTTTGAAGTGAGACAATTGTTTGTAAAAGGCTTCAGCTTCTTATAAAGATTTTGTTAATCTTTTTGCACGTTGTAACCGTTTGTTAACTTCACTATGAAACTAATAACCTTAGTCTACGTATTCCTAGTATCTACAGCCTTGGTGATTTGGTAGTTCACAGTCTAATACGTAATTCTGTACCTGGTTACTGAGCAAGACACTGAATATCCTACACGAAACGCCAGTACCTTTCGGCAGTTAACCTAATGATCGCATTCAGAAAGTGATCCATAGACTTCGATCAACACTCGCAATTCATAGAGAAGAGAAGAGATAATTTAGCGGATATCATTTTCCCTACTCGATGATATCATTTGCCAGAGCTGTACAATCATATTTATATACATCACAAACACATACTAATAGTCTATTATTAAACAATAGTTGCAAACAGTAATTGCATCATTAAGCTAATGCTATAAAACCGGAGTGAAGAATGGGGAGTAGTTGCGTGATGATCTTTTAGACAGGGTAAATAACGTGGAAGACAGGTAGTTTGACAAGGTGGAAATTGTTGGTAGGTGAGAAACACGAGTGTTGAGTATCCACTTGACAACAGATATGGATAGATGGATGGATGTAAAGAAGTTGAAGAATGAGACAAGAGTCATAATGAAGGCGATAATAATGACAAAGCAATTGATTATAATGAAATTGACATAGAGTAGTGAGAGTGTTAGGATAATGGTAAGACAAGAGATTGTACATACTTCTTCTACACACAGAGATGAGGTTTGAAATGATGAATGAGTGCTTCAGGTGTGTAGGTGTGTTGAAGGCGTACTCCTTTTGAACTATTCCATTTGACTGTATGATTGACAATGGTCGAACTGTCTGTCCGAGAGTTGTCGAAATGTTGAAGAATTGAACTGTTAATTGATTTACATTCCCTCCTCGACAAGGATGTAGGATAGTGTTCAGGAGTAGGTTTGTAAATTGTGTGGTTTGTGCAGTGTATATAAATAACTAGGTCCACAGAAGGAAGTAAATGGAGGTGACCGGAAGCGGCAACTTGTGCTTAAGGCACTCTGGAACGAGTTGGAGATTGTAGAAGCTGTTGGTGTGTGGTTTTGTAGAGAAGCATGTCTTCTTCAGTGATCTGGACAGTTGATTCTTGATGATCTCTGTTGTTGTATCTGTTTTGAAAGCAAGGTCTTTGGAACTGTGAGTACGTGTTGCGTATTGTGTTTTAATTTCACTTTCTTCTGAATAAATGTTGATGGGTATCGATTTAGCATGATAATGTTTGGTAGTTTGTCACTTGTGAATAATCTTCTAATTCTTGAAGATGAAGAATTGATCATATTCTTTTTTGTGGTTGGAGACATGGAGCTGTGAAAAATCAAGTGATGTTCCTTGTATGTAGGCTTCTTATAATTTGATCGTTGAAGAGAACCATCTAGTCCCCCTTTCAGTATGACACTCACGAAATGCAATTCAAGGTTCTCCTCGGATTCTGATTTGAAGTTGGTCGATTGTTGAGAATCATTGAACTTTTTAGCTACAGTGCTCATATCTGTAGTTCAATCACGTATGATGAATGTGACATCCATATATCTTTTATATTGGTAGAAACTGTCAGTTGTTGAGTGAAGCACATTGTTATCTAGGTTCGCCACCGAGGATTCAGCCGACAACTGTCCAAGTGGTTGCCCTGTATTTCTCTTAATACTGTGGTGATATTGTTTGTCAGTGTATTTTGAAACAGGACCCTTAGTAAAACTTGTATATTAATTTTCTGTCTTTTTCTTTTGTCACAGCATCGCTCGGCACCCTTAGTGACTGTGGTGATATTCCAGATGGGGTTAGTTTTTCATTTTTCTTTCACTGTGTATCATTCTGTACCGTTTTCATTGGTGTTTAATGCGACATGTCACATCAGCAACCTTGTACATATTCGTGTAACATGCAATGATCCTCATCTTTTGTTTGTGTGAGGAGGGCTAATGATAATACGTGGCTGTTCGAAACCCCAATATTTTGGTGCGACTTTCGAAACCGTGACCTATTGATTGAAAGTCAACTCCGTTAACCACTGATCTACACCTCCACTAGGCAATGCCATTTCTGTAACGTATAAATGATTACGTCATTGCATATATTATGATTTATGTGGTTACTGCAAAAACAGTATTTTTATACTGGTTGTAATCATTTTTCGCCTTCCTTTTAGTCAATAATTTTTCAGCTTGATTTCTAAATATAAGTTATGTGGTTTCGATACACGATATTTCACAAACTTTTAACTTATTCAATGACATTACAATGTCTACAGTTTGAGCTGTAGATTTTGTTGTCTGCGTTAAAATTTCCTTCTATGGGTCATGACCTTGAAGCCTACTCCACCTACTTAGATTTCGTACAAACAGATAGTATCAGCATTCCTTACATATAAGTTTCAATTTATAGATGAATTCTGCCTACCTTCTTTTGTGTCAGTAGCCATCACTCTTACAGTTATGTACAATGCGTTTTCGAGTCCTAATCCATTGAAATTTGAACTATGTTCATATGTTTTCGTATGGGAAACTGTCTCCGTTGAATGGTTGACGATTGTAAGCGAGAAACTGTATATAGTAATTGTGATAACGCGATTCGATAGCCACATGCAGTTTTGTCCATCATATTATAAGCTATTTATTACAAATAGTTGATGGTACAATTCTTGACCTCATCAGGCGATAAGGTGTTTAAACTCCTTACTCGTTGGTTGAAAATCAGATTCTTTAATCGATGAATTACAGTTTCATATGTTAGTTATGTTGTGTAAAGCATGCCAGAAACTGTTTATCTTCAAGAGAGTTACCCTAGTCTTTTTCAACATCGTAATGAAAATATTACATAAAGTGCTGTTCACTTTGATTCTCGTATTTTTCTCCAGCCCTGCGGAAGTTCACTTATTACAGCCATACATTTGGTTTGACTGTCTAAAAATCCTAACTCTGGCCTTGAGAAGACGCTAGGGTTTTCACAACATGCTTAATAGTAAGCAGAAAAGTGAAGTAAATGGGTTCTTACTGATTGCTTTTGGCCATTTAAAGCTGATTGCAGTGTAACTATATCGTTCAACAGGCTTTTCATTGATGATAAGGGTTATCATTCTTCGTGCACTCCGTATTTATTGGCAAACATTCATTGAAATCTTTCATTTATGTGAAGTTGTTACTTTGGGTTACTGCTAATTGTAATAGTGAAACACTGAATGATGAGTTTTTCGGTGTTTCCATATAAAACATTGTATTCACTAGCTTGCTGTAGATTTATTTTCTAATATGAGGTAAAGACTAAATTCTCGTATCTGGTTACAGCTGCGTTACTTATTGATCATACGTCATCACTGAAGGAAAACGTGCTTGTTCACGCATACTGAGCTACCACCTACCTCAAAGTGCAGTGCTAGACAAAGTTGGCTAAGGTTGGGGAAGAGGGCTCACGGTGGTGAGACCAAGATGTAGCTCCAATGCATGAAGTTGAAATGGTGGAGGATATTTGTAGTTCAGATGGGTGATCTTGGTTTTCTTGTGTTCTGTGTACTGGGTGGTTTAGTCGTGAAACTTTCATTGTCTTTCTTGACCACACAGCCTAGAGAACACAGCACAACCAATACATAAAGTCTCTAATTGTTGGTCTCAGCTATGTATGCAGGTATGGACTACGTGACCTGGGGTCTTCGAGATGATGATATAGCTGAAAATTGATCACAATTGTGCAGATGTACTCACTCTTTATTGTCTTATAAACCTTGAATATTTTGATTCATCTTAATTTTCGAATTCTCCCTTGTCCCATGCACCTTCATCGACTTTGATTTCCATCTTTTTCAACCCACTTGTTGTTCGTTGTATGCTACTGTGAAGTGTTGCGACTTGAACCGATGTACTTGTGCGCGGGGTTCTACATCGATTTATCTATCTGTCTTGATGTTCATGGAGTAGTGATTTGGCTGTAGGTAGCATCTGAAATTGAATTAGTACAGGAATATCTACACTACTACGAGAGTTGTCGTCGAAGGAGTTCTACAGTGTGATATATATATATATATATATATATATATATATATATATATATATATATATATATATATATGATTTTTGTATATCTTATCGAACCGATTCATTTATGGGTTTCTAGACCGAAAAACAAGTTTGACGTATGCTCCTTAGGCAAATATGCCTATCTTTTGTAGAAAGCCATTCAGCACGCTATGTTATGCAGTAAACGAACGGCCTACATTGGCATGTCTCATAAAACGCCTTCAGAAGGTTGTAGATGTAGATAGAGAGAGAGATAGTCTGATTTCACGTGTCGTGTAACATCTTACTTTTCTTGTCTTTGATAATTGTATCCTCGAGATCAGAAATAGAGGTCAGCTATGAATCTGCTGATCTTACAGGTAGTTCAACTGTATAATGACTCCAACTGTTAGACATATTGTTATTGGGTTGCTAATGTTTAGATACCTCTATGTAATAATTGTATTAATTGCAGTTAGCAGTCACTAGTATGAGACTCCTCAGCAGTACGCACCTACGACCTCACCCCATCAGGGATCAAACTCAGTACCTTCAGGTTTCAGGGCAAACATGTTAACCATTCATCCACTGGAATTAAATTCAATAATCCACGTTTTCCTATTTCTGTCACTATCATCCAAGATCTTCAGCTGGTATCCGCTTCACTTCAAACTAGTTGACCCCACAGGGTACATACTGCTGATAAGCCTCATACTGGGATGAAATAGCTACCCAGTGCTGCCAGGTTTTAAATGGTTATCTAAGTGATATCAGTCTGTAATGAATACTACGCTCAGATGAAGATATTATTCGTTTATTTCTAAGTAATTTGATTGGTGGTAACGGCGAACATTTGAATCCAGGACTCACGTCTCGTCCTATCTGAAACTCGTCACAGAAGCCTATACAAACAAATAAATCAACAGACTGATCAATTCAAACTACAGTAAAAATCAGTGAGAAATGCCATTTCAGAATGTTTAAAAAAACATGAATAAAAATGAAAATAAGGTGCAACGTAATCTGTACACTTACAATGAGTATTAACTTTTGTATGGTAGTCAACTGTGTTTTACCTAACTGGTTTAAACTGTGAAACGTTTGAATCAGATTTCAACCAAGGACTCCACTACTGGATAGCTTAGTGGTCTAGTCATATTGTTAGAGGAAGTATAGCTTTATATTGTGTTGGTATACGTAATCGTTGTATCACTGCGTTTGTTGAAGTCTTAGAGTGATCAGATGTGACTGGAAATTGAAATTAGTAGTAATTTGACTAACACTCTGTACATTTCTTCCTCTTTTCAGCTGTGTTTTGTAACGTAGGATTTTACGTTTTCTTTGATCTTCATCTTGAACTGAGAATCATTTGAAAAATTTCGTTGAATTAACACTTTTTTAAACAAAGAGCCTTCCTATTTACCACTAATAGGAAGGCTCTTTGTTTAAAAATACAAACAGCATTCTGTTCTTCCTCGTCATCGAAGCGCGTTACTATCTTTTTTAAACATGTACTCGAAAATTCTTAATGTCTCGAATCCTTTGTCTATTTATCCTTACATACTTTTACATTCTTGTCTTCTTAGTATTGATCACGTGTAGTGGAAACAGTGTATGAGTAATGTTGAGGTTAGGCGAAGGGTAATAGGAAAGATAGGTAAGTCCATTGACGAGGTTGGAAACCTTAGTCGACTGAGATGGCTTGGAAATGTGTTGCTCATGCCGAATCACCATCTACTTCGATGTGTGCTATGCAAGGGAAAGCTGGATTAAGTTGAAAGAGGGTTCAGGGTAGCACCAGTTTATGACGTCTCTTACTGTTGACCTGAGCCATTTATGGGATGTAGACTGCTTTTTTGGGATCCCCGAAACTAAAGGAACCAGTGGTTGAGGACCCTTGGTTAAGTAACTGAAAATAGGTCACAAAGCCTTCAGATTGTTTATTCTCTCACTACTATACCTTCTTTGATATAAATTTTTTTCGATCCACCGGTTCTTTGTGTATTACCATGAAGTGTGACAACTTGAGCCGATGCATATGTATACGAGGTTCTATATTGATTCTGGCAGCCCATTCTCGTCTCTCTATCTTCTCTTCATATACTGTTATTATTCAGTTAAAGGGGAATAAGTAGGATCTCACAAGTCATTTGGCTTATTGACCGTTAGTCTAATTTCATCCTAACTTCAGATAAGCGGTGAACGATGATTTCTGTTCGTTTTTTATTGATTTAAAAACTTGCTAACACTTAATTATCTTACGGTGTTACACTTTAATAATCGTTTCTTTCTACTTTAGCCTCTATATGGTCGACACTATTCAGTTGGCAGTAATCGTGCTCCATACGGTTCAGATGATAACTTCAGTGAGACATCATCACAGTGTTCTGAACGTTCAGGTCGTTCAGCGCCTGGTTATCGTCGTCCATCTTCAACAAAAGTGACAACTGTAAGTTTGACTTTTATTATTTTTGTTTTTCACTTGGTCGATAGGTCTATGTCCACATGTGTATATGTTGTCTTGTCAATCGGTAATGTTGCAAAACGGATATGATTTCTTTATTGATACTTGTTATTTCCCGTTGATATACTGAGTCTGATTGCTCAACATCTATTGGTAGTGTGGGCTCTTATGCAGATGCCTTGATATTCTCCGAAAGCTCATTATATTTTGGTCTACTTGATGGCTGCCAGGGGTATTCAGGATGGGCATTTTGTCCTGTTTGGGACTCATCAGGTAGATGTGCCGATAACTCAGTGAAAAATGGTGTCTCCACTGAGACTTGCACTAACATCACACTCACTAGGGGCCAGATACATCCATCTGACGAGTACCAAACAGGACCAAGCCCACGTTCTGAATTCTGTTGCTGGTCACAAAGTCGACTAAAAGATATGATTCCTTTTTCTACGAATGTAATTATTTTATGTGTTGATTTGGGTTTACACAGTGTATAAGACAGAAAGTAATCGCCAATAGCTGTGAAGTAAATATAATACTCCGGTGCCAACTAGTACTAATCCCCCTCTATAACTAACATTTTAGGGAGTATTTTTATTAGTATAATTGTTATTATTGGTATCAAGGATTACTAGAAGTATAGTATAGATTGTTATTAATTATTATTATTAGTCTTAGAAGCTGAAGGTATTCCGTGATACAGTTGAAATATGGAGTAGTACAGGTGCACCCGTTCTGCTTTAACATAGCATGTTAAACGACTTTCTATTCATCTTGGTGACTAGCAGCTGAATCCAGGATGCGCGTTTCGTCCCATTTTGGACTCGTCAGCTGGACGTGCCTGCACCCCAATGAGTGGTGTTGCCAATGGGGCTCGAACCCAGTACCTTTCGCTTCAAATGACGGAGCGTCGTCCACCAAGCCACTTAAACAGAACGCGCCTCCTAGACTCCTATGCTAGTCCCCAATATTAATATAACGTCGTGAATATCCCACAGTATCGAGGCATCCCTAAAGGAGTTCATCTGCCAACGGAGGCCGAGCAGTTCAACCCTGTATAGCTACGGGAAATTACAAGTATCATTACAACTTTTTATTCGTCTTCATCAACTGACCTATCCTTCTTCCTCCAGTTCAAATTGATAGTGTATTCACATCTGTTGATTTTATGCTGTTGTTCTGTTTCGATATTTCGCAACGGTATTTACTAGTACACTATTATAGTCTATCCCATGTTCTCCTATAGGTTAAAAGTTTATTATTTGGACTGCTTTTTGTCGTTAGAGTAAACGGAGAGCAGTTAGTGGGTACTGCAATTCACTTGCAGAAATGTGAACTGAATTTTATTGTGTGAAGATCTCGTTACTCACTGCATCACGTGAAGAAGCTGAAGTCCCCTTTACCACTATGAAATAGATGGAACTTTTAGTGTTGTTGTAGACAGATTATTTCTGTCAGTCTGTATTTCTTCTGCTATAGTTGTTCGGATATAGTTGAAGGCAAAAATAACGAACCACCTAATGATGTTATGAATCTTCAAGGACTCAGATGGCTGGGACATGTGTTACGCTCGCCTAGTCACCGTCTACCCAAACACTTAAAGTCAGCTGATTTTGATTCAGGTTGGTAAAAGGTTATAGGTCACCCGACTGAAACGGCACCAATACTTGAAGTCTTTGAATGTTGGTCTTAGTCGTATAGAAATATATATTGACTCCTGTGTTGAAATCCAAGGGATAACCGTAGTCGATGACCGGTAGCCTTCGATGAACTGTAGAAAATGACAAGACGGAGACGAAGGAAGGAATGTTTACTTTTGACATCTTGTACAGTAGTCATCAAATATTGTTCACCTTGCACTAAGACATTCATTTGCATAATGTGCTTCATTTCCTCTTCTGCTTCTATCTTGATTTGCTCTTAATACGCCCACATTGTCTCTTGCGTTTCTCTTGACAAAATCTCTACCCATTACTGGTAATTCCCTACGATTTTAGCCGTCCTCTCAATATATACTACTTATAATCATTCTGATGAGTAACGCCCTCTACAATTCCATTTAGAATCTATCTCAATGGTGCAAATACATCCACACTTTATCGTAACTGTTGTAGGGCATATCCTTATTGTTTCAGCCACTCTTCCTCACTTCCTATGATTTTCTACGAGTTTCAATTACATCCCCCCGTTTTTGTATTTTTCATCTTCCTGGTGTGCTGATATGAGGTGTGACAACTTGGATTGTTGTGCAATGTTATCTGGTTTCGTGGTGATATCCACTGACTAACTGATAATCATTCAATACCAAGTTCCATAGCATTGCCTTTACAGATTACAGATCTCTCGAGTTACGAGTTAGGCGGATTGTTCAGTTTCCTACATAAAATTCTATGCAATGGTAGAGGAATACAATTCTTTATTAACCTGTAATACTTAACAGGTGTTTCTTGTATTATTTAGGGAAGCTAGTAATCACTCTTTGTTCCACATCCAGTATACTTTGACGACTTGATCAACTTGAGCACAAACGACTAAATAGAGTGTACTTTTTCCAGGAATAAAGTAGAATTATGGAATCCATTCATTTGTTTCATACATAGGTTTTTTGATAATTATCTAACTGAAATATACTTACTTCAAATGTGATTTGAATAATTACATCCTGTTTTCATAATTTTTTTCATGTTTTTTGCATAAATATTGATTGTCTTTTGTTGATATTTTTATCCTTCATATTACAACAGAATTTAAAAGAGATTATTTCCCAGTTGCAAGCAGTTCAATGGTCTGATAAGAAGGATGGTTTAACAAATTTACAGAATTACATGCGTTCTGGTTATCCATTAAAGTGAGTTATTTAGTATAGTGAAATGTTTCCATCATGACACCTATTCCTTTTTAAGGTATATTCATTAATATGAAAAATTATTATTTTATTATTTTCTGGTTTGTATATACGTACTGAATACTTGCTCATTGTAAATCGGTGACGATATGATTCATAAGAACCCCTTCATACAGTCCAGCTATGATTCGTTCGTCTAAGTAGTCAACTTTCAACCAATGAGAAATAGATTGAAATTGAACTCTGTCTACTGATGTTTAAATGTAAACAAGTGTGATACATAATCATCCAGTCAACCCATCTGCATTTAGTTGTATCATCCAATCGGATCAGATATGGAATTTGTAGCGAGTCATAGAAAGAATGTCTAAAACAATAGAGAAATGTGGTAAGGCAATTATGATGAAAATAATACGGAGGCATTTGCAACTGTGAGATAGATTCTACCATACCACCAAGACTTACCGATTTCGGTTGTCCCTTAGACTTAAACAGAGGAGTCTATATATGTTTCTACACGACTCACACCAACAATCAGATAATTCATACATTCATGCTCAGGTTTCTTCGAAATGTGTTCAATTCTCTTCTAATCTGAACTCATCAGCTTATATTGTACTAATATTTTGAGTTTCAAGCGACTCTAACTGCTTATTCTTATGTAATAATGGTAGTTATTGATAATTATAGATAACTTGACCAATAGGTGCTACTTTGGTGCGGTGGATACTTGTTCCTTCGAAGTTCTAGCATGCCAAGAAGATCTGTTCGACAGTGGTAAGACACAAACCACTTATCTTTGTTGCGTAAATTACTACAGTATGATGGGGATCTGTGTGTGAAGTTATAGTGCTGGCTAGGTGGAGTGTGACAAGATTAAGGTGTTTCCTCTTGACTATCAGCAGTGCCACGCTGATGCTACCTTCCTCGTGGGGAAGAGGGGAGATTAGAAAAGTTCGCCCATAAAAATAGCACACTGCTTCCTGCCCTACTGTCTTCTGATGCCGGCAGTATGGGTTTTATCCATCAGTTGTTAGAACAACCAAATCTCATACCAACCTTCCTCAAAAGGTTGTTTGACAGACGTCAAGAGGATGTCTTTTCTAGGTACTTTAAGAAGAAATAGCCTTGCACAGTGTGTTGGACCAAGAAGTGTCAACTGCTCTCGGTAGTATAAAAGACATAAATATAGATAATTACTAATTTAGTCTAGATAACAGGTAATAGTGTAGATCGCAGACTAATGGTCAAACTTTTGTTTCGGTCATTTAGTCAGTTGGTGTTCATCATCGATGATGATAATAACAATAATAATCCATTCAGTAATGTTGTGCAGTTCTTTAGGCTAAGCTTTTATGATCACTTAGTGAATGTGTTGAGTTATGACAATATTCAGTTTCGCAAGCAGTGGTGTCCGTCAAGGATGCCCACTATCCCCATTCTTATTTAATTTTATCATAGATGTTTTTATGGAGGTTTCCCTGTCGTCACCTAATTACACAGACGTTGACCCAATCACATGTGAATTTTCTTTAGATCTAGAATATGCAGATGACATAGTCCTGTTAGGTGAAGACGCTGACAAGATGCATAGTCTTCTGAACACTTTGAGTGGGAATTCGAGAATGTTTGGGATGCGATTTTCACCACCCAAATGCAAATTTTTGCTCCGGGACTTGTCTTCAGCGGTGCTGCGGCTAACAATAGAGTGTGTTGACCACTTCACCTGCCTGGGAAGTAGGATCAACTCCGGTGGGTTAGTTGCCGACGAGATTTCCGCACGGATACAAAAGGCTCGATTTGCTTTTGCCAATTTACGCCACCTATGGCGCCGCCGTGATATTCGTTTGTCTATTAAGGGTCGCGTGTACTGCACAGCAGTCTACTCTGTTCTGTTGTATGGCTGTGAAACATGGCCATTGAAAGTGGAAGATCTGAGAAGGCTTCAAGTGTTTGACCACCGTTGCCTTCGTAGTATAGGCCATATTCCGTGTAGTCTCCACGTGAGTAATGCAGAAGTCAGGTGTGGAGTTTTAGTGAGTAGAGGTAAATCAGTTGACGAGGTTGTGAACCTTCATCGACTGAGATGGTTGGGACACGTACTACGTATGTCTAGTCACCGATTGCCTCGTCACACAATGTTGTCTGAGGTGGGTCCAGGCTGGAAAAAGGCCCGAGGTTGCCAGACTAAAACATGGCACCAATGTATAAAGTCGTTGGCTGTTGGTTTGAGCCATGTGGGGCGATGCAGGCTAGGTGGTTGGGGTCCACGGGATAAGAGGAACCAGTGGTTGGAGACCCTAGGTGATATGGCTCAGAACCGAAGTCAGTGGCGCAGATGTTTACACACATCATCCTGATCTTAACGATGCTATGCCGAATCTCATGATTTTCTCATTCCTTTTTTCTTTCTTCTCGTACTTAATATTTCTTTTGACTGCATTCACTTATCTTCATCCTTCGCCTCACTACCTTTTTACTTGATGTGCTGATATGAGGTGTGGCAACTTGGACCGTTACGCAGTAATGCCTGGTCCTATGTTGATAATGATGATGATGCAAGCAGAAATAGAAGGTATTTTGTTCAAAAACCGATCAGGTGGGTGGAAAACACAGATTGTTACTCCTATTGTTATTGTATTCACTTCTTCCATAACCCATGGTATTTAACCGTAGTACCGTGAGAATTGTTTGAAAAAAAATGTGTTTTAAACAATTTCTATTACTTTTTTTCAACTTGTTCCCTTGATAGCCCTGAAGATATTCGCTGTTTGACGGAGATTTTTCGAAAATGTTTGCTGATTCACAGAGTAAAGTGAGTTGTTTTTTTAAAAGCCTTTTTGGTATCTATACTTTATCCAGCGTCTTAGCATATATATGCATGTTTCTTATGATATTGGTGTATGTTTTTGATTTTCTTGCCCGTGTATGTGTATGTGAAAGTGTTGCACTTCTCAGATCATCCATCGATAATCTAATGATATCTATTGGTTGGCTTTATTCACTATGCATCAATACTCAATTTGTTTACATTCTATAATGACTGTTTTTATTTATCACTTTTTCTTTTCATCAAAAGGTTGTCAGTTTATTCATGGATACTTTGCAATTCTTTATCAAAGAATATAATCCTTTACTTCGTGACTGGTTATATACTCTTTTAATACGTTTGTTATATCGTCAAAGTCATGAAGCACTTAGTAGTCATCAAAAGGCTATACAAGAGACACTTTTTGTCCTTCGGTAAGTGATATTTCTCTTTTTTAACTCGTTATCGCTCATGTACAAGTTTTCAAATAAGTTTAATGTACTAAAAGATTCGTTTGTTTAATTTATAACACACACACACACAACGTTTTGATCATTGCTCATAGTCATAACAATGTGGTCACATCTGATTTTTGTAGTCCTATTACCTCATGTTTTTTGTTTCTATTGATGGTAAAATTTTGCATATCTCTGGTATGGGTGTTACGTCACTCCTATTACATGTGTTCGGTATCGGCTGATTCGATAAACAAAGCTTTAGTAATCAATCTATCTTTCCACCTAAATATATGAAGACGCCACATGCCAAGTGATCTACAATGGAAAGCTCGGTGACGCCTTTGAAGTGAAGACAAGAGTAAGACAAGGCTGTCGCCTACTATCACGGATGATCTTCCTAATTGTGGTCGACTGGACTGGATCATGCAGCAAACCGTGAGGAGTGAGAAGATGGGTGGGCGCTGTTTGACCGATGAAAAGAGCCTAGAAGATTTGGATTGCGCCGATGATTTATGTATAATATCTTATCGCACAAACTCGAAGATCTACAGGCGAAAACTAGCAAGTTGACAGAAGAGGCAGGGCAGTGAAGATGGGACTTCAAGTGAATGTGGAGAAGACAGAGATGATGAAGATACCCAACCAACAACAGCATCAACAACAAGCAGCAAGCACCATTAACGTGAGAAACCTAAAGGAAGTTGTCTCTTTCACCTACCTAAGCAGGCAGCATCGTTTCAACTATAGGTGGCGGCACAGATAAGGATGTCAAAGCCAGGATCGGAAATACAACAAGATAGGCTTTCCTTAATCTGAAATCATTGTGGAGACCTGCACTCAGCATAAAGCGTGAACAAAATCTGGATTTTCAACGCCATTGTGAAGTCAGTGCTGCTATATGGTTGAGAAACTTGGTGCGTCACGAAAAGCACTTCCAACAAACCCCACACATTCATCAACAGCTGTCTACTCTGGCTCGATACTGAAGATCAGATGGCCAGAATAAATAAGCAACAAGGAACTCACTCTGGTCTGGCAGCGAACCAACCAGGAACCTATCATCCAACAAATGTGCAGAGGAAGAAAGTGGAGATGGATTGGAATGGGCATACACTGAGGAGGCCAATTGGGGACATCACGCGCCAGGCCAGGTCAGGCTGTCGAGTGGAATCCAAAGGGCAAACGACGCATTGGGCGTCTGAGCCGAGGGCGACATGGAGGAGATGGTGTGTGAGGAAGAAATGAAGGATTGTGGGCAGTCGTGGAGCCAGGTCCAAAAGACTGCAGAGAGGAGAGTGAAATGGCGACGTGCTACTGAAACCCTATGTTCCCAGGGGAATAATAATAATAATATTGGAGTTTAGTAAAGTGGTTTTATCCCATCCACCCTATTGTATGGTTGTGTGTCAATGCATGCATTGTAATAACCGAGTGTTTTTCTAAATTATCGATCTTATTCGGGTCTGTCATTCTATACCTAGTTAAATTCCTATCTTTGGCTAGTGTTACTGACTGTGATTGGCTAGTTTTACCTTAATACTTGACCTCACAGTCATTACATGGAATTTAATAGATTAATTGGTTATATCGGATCCTTTAACCAGCCGACAAAGTTTATCTCTGAGTGAGTTTGTAGGTTTAAATACCACCCTAATTCCAGCTTTGTTGAGGGTTCTACGTAGAGTTTCTGATGTACCTTCTTTATAGTATGGTGGCACTATGGAGGCTGTGAACTTTTTTCTCCTCGTATTGTCGCTATTATTCATCTTCGTATTACTGTTACTATAAGGTAATGAAGTTAGCTGATTCTCACTTCATGGCTTCATGCATACATCTTAGAGAATAATGTCATCAATTACTGAATACTAAGAGAAAGATTTTCTTTCACAATGTATTTCCTTCTTGACTGTTTATATTGATTTTTTGAAGTTAAGAAGTCGCTATCCACTATATCGACATTGAAAAGTTATGAGTCAATTACTTATATACTCGATGCGGATTCGATTGAAACTAGCTTGGTGGTATCATAATCCCCACGAAATCGATTGTACTCTTTGTCACTATCTATCTTAACGTAGTGATCGAGCTTGTCTATCACAGTCACCCAACGACTTAGCATTTTCTTCAGCTTCTCACCCTTCGATCACTACTAACGATCCAAGCCAAAAAAGCCTACTAAACCCTGGTATCCTAAAACCGTACTAGCACTTTCATATTGGGGCTTTCGAAGTTGGACAGCTGGTGTCGCTGATGGAAATTTAGGGATCTTTGGTCTTGAGTAATGCAATAGATTTGATTCATTGTCAAGTATGCAAGTGGTGGTGGTGGTCGCGGAATCTGAAGATCCTGGTTTCGACGCCTTGTGGGTCATGGATACGTACTGCTGAGAAGATTCATATTAGGACGAAACAATTATCCAGTGCTCACAAGATTCCAATGTTTCTCCAAATGATGTTAGTTCATGATGAATACCAGCCTGATATTTCCAAGTGGATTGATAAGTCTTAGGCTTGGATAGAAGCATTGACTCAGTCGATTCAACGTCCTTTTATTTAGTCTTGAAGCTTTTGTATTAGTTCCTAACAGAAACACATTTATTTATATGTCTCCTAATAATAAATCTGTTTATTATTCAGTACATTATAAACTGTATTATTATCTTTTTATCATCCGTAAAACTATAGAAGTAAGGGGTGGGAGGTAGAGGTGATTACTCACTAACCAATAAGCTTTTGTTAAGCTGATCGATTAATTGATTTTCTAATTTTCGTACCCCATTTACATTCAATGTATAAAAAACTTGAATCATTTAAAAAGTGGATTGGAACGTTTTCCACTCCATTTCTTTGCATTTCGTTCTCCATTCACATACTTTAAATGCTCTAGATCTGAAAATAATTTCTGTTATAGTTTATTATAAATAAACCCCCCTTCAAAGACAAGCTAAATCAAATGATAACTTTGTCGTATTTTCGGACTCTGCCACAGCAAAACTAATCAAACAATTTTAAAGGCCACCTTAGCAACTTGTAAGATAACTAATTCAATTTCTAGCCGGAATGCTGAAACTTCATTGGTTATTACAGCAGGTGCTCATGTGACTTTTAAAGTCTCCCAATTAATCAGTGGGTATATACAAGATGAAAAATAATGCGTATAGTCCTTATTGTACTTTGATTTTCTCAATAGTTATTTTTTTATTTCAATTTGTTAGTTAGAGGGGAGTTTATTGGTTTCAAACTGTTGTTCGTCACGGACTGACATCACTTGGGATAACCTAAGGGACTGCTGGACCGCCTTTCCGTCCTGTTATGCGACTCTTCAGAAGTGTGCATACATAACCCTACTAGGTTGTTTGTATTATTTCAGCTTGAGTCCCATGAATGTTCAGATAGCTTAATTCAATAAATGGTTGTGCTCAAGATAAACTTGTCAGACCGAAAAATTAATTTAAAACAATATATGAAAGTGGAAGGCAACAAGATTGAATATACTTAATAATTGTAATTGAACTCCTTAGCTCTCAATAATCTGCATACTTGGTTGGGTATACTATAATTTAATACAGGAGAAAAAAAATACAAACATATTAAAGTTTAACTATCTGATTGAGATAATCCTGGTTTGGAAGACTTGCATTATTGATGTCGGATAATGATTGAAGGTGAAATGAGAATTTGGCCTGCGGGTTACCGGTCTTGGTATTCTACTCAGATGTAGACCATACCTTGATTTAACCTAAATCACCATTGTCATTGTTTAGTTCTCATTGTGAAGTTGTACATCTACATACACAGACTTAATTTGTCTTTTCTAATAATAGTTCTTAAATTGTATCGATTTGATTGAAACTTGTTGTCGAGTTGGTTTGCTTTTGATATAGGTTTTGTAGACCCAATAACTTTTGACCTGAACTTATCAGAAGTAGGTAGGCTCTGTGGTGGTGTTGAATGTTCACAAATCACTCAGGCATTGACATAAGTCATAAAGGCGAAATTAACGTTGATTCCAATTCTTCGGATAAAAAGCATAGATCGATCAGTATCAGTCAATATCACCATAGGACCAGGCATTACTGCGTAACGGTCCGAGTTGCCACACCTCATATCACTATATCAAGTAAAAAGGCAGTGAGGTGAAAGATGAAGATAAGAGAATGCAGTCAAAAGAAATATAAAGTACGAGAAGAAAGAAAAGAGGAATGAGAAAATGATGAGATTCGGTATAGCGTTGTTAAGATGAGGATAATGTGTGTAAACATCTGCTCCACTGATATCGGTTCTGAGCCATATCCCCTAGAGTCTGCAACCACTGGTTCCTCTTGTCCCGCGGATCTCAGCTACCTAGTCTACATCGCCCCACATGGCTCAAAACAACAGCCAACGACTTTATACATTGGTGCCATGTTTTAGTCTGGTAACCTCGGGTCTTTTCCCAGCCTGGACCTACTTCGGCCAACATTGTGTGACAAAGCATAGGTCAGAAATATGTTTCTTTTCTGATGACAAGTTTATCTTCTGCGGATTGCTTTGATGGTATTACTTTTTCTGTACAATGATGTTGAACGTGCTACTAAGTACCTTTTGTCGGTTCAGTCGTTGTAGTAAGAGTCATTGAAATATATGTTGACAGACGTGAATAGTGTTTTCACATTTTGAGGCTTTTAGGCATTCATCACGGACTGACGTCAATTGGAGAACCATTGGAAACCTGTGAGCATTAGACGGTTGTTTCATCGTAGTATGAGTCTTTTCAGCAATACCGCACCCTTGACCTTGCCAGAGGTCGAACTCAGGATCTTCAGGTTTCACGACAAACGCCTTAATCAATCAACCACTGGGTCGAACTTCAATGGTCTGCAGTTTCCCACTTCTATTGATTCGCGATATAACGCGTCTATAAGTTGACATCCGCTTCACTTCCGACTCATTAAAACTTTTGGATATTCATTTTGAGGCATGTCAATAATAAACATTATACAGTAATATATTTTGAAGTCAATGGGAATTTTATGTTTAAGGTAGCATTCATATTTGTTAGCTTTTCACCCTTATTCAACTATATCTTTCTTCTTGTTACTTTTGTTTTATAGGTCTCATTTCCCTTTAAATTCACAGTTTGCTAATTGTTGTCATTTCATCATGGATAATGCACAGGCGCCTAATTTTCGTGTTAAAACCTGCTTGTTAGAATATATGAAAGACTTAATTCTAATGATGAGTCCAGATGTGATTGCAAATCCAACTAATGAAATGACTAATGCAATTGGCAAAATTATCAGTTGGTCTGGTGAACCGAAATCAGCTGATGTTCGACGTGTTAGTTATTCTAGTTATATGTTCTTTTTGTGTAGTATACTCATAATTATCGTTTTTCCATATATATATCCACATAAACTTTGCAACAACCAACGCGGGGAAGTCAGAAAAGAAGTTGTAGATTGAGGAGAATAAACAGCCATCCGAACTACACTATTCTGATCGACTTCGACATCTCATGATTGTGCGTCTTCAACTATCGGTTCTTAACACCCTAGAAACCCAATTTAGTTATGTAGCCCACATAACCTAACTAATTGTCAATGACTTGAAGAATCGTTGCCACATTCTCAGGCGAAAAATCTAAGGTTTCTTTCAAACTGAACCTACTTCAACTAACTTTGGACGACGAATAGATCAAATGAACCGTGCACCATTGTTCACCATCGGTAAAATGAAATATTGTTGGTACTACAGTTGTCGATTATCCACCAGGTTGTCAAATCTGTGTATAAATCTATTTCGTCTTGAAGTACCTAACGTCGAATGGAAATGCACTTGGTTCACATCCGAGCAGTAAACAATGAACCATACCTGTTGTATGAGAGGCTTAATGATACTATCTGGTTGCTTGAATTATATGCAGACCTAGGATAGTTCGAACCTGTGAGACATTGATTGAAAGTCAATGAGCCACAAGTCTACTGAAGTGGTTTAGAATGAGAATGGATGTTAGTTATTAATTTCTTCAATTCGAGTGTGTTTATTGTTGAGAGCCAAAGAGAAAAATCTACATAAAGCCAACTACATACAACATTTTTGAAGATTGATTTAGAGTTTTGTCTACTTTTAGTAAGCGTCTGCTGCTGATTCTTCTTGTGTTGTTATGTCTTTTGAATCTTTCTTCAAAATCTCTACCTTCGACTTATAGAAGAGCGAATTCACTCCCCCCCGTCCCCTTAACTTGTCTTCTTGGGAAATACATCATTTGGATAACATTTCTATAAGTAACAGTCTGACTTTCACCGTGCATCTAAGATTCGTTTTTGCCTCTTACTCTGTTTTTCTTGATTTCTATCATTTCTATGATTATTATAATCGGTTTCCTTGTTTTGTAATGTTTTTAAGTGGAAATACAACCTAGTGGAGTATATAAGTGAAAAACTTAAGCACTGTGGTAATTCCATATTAAATTTGTTTATTTGATATAAAGCGCACAGTGATATAGTATTATTTACTTGATTATAACTGATTATAACATGATTTCATCAACCGATGCCTTGGTTCTTTGAGTAAGTTGTAAGTCAGTATCTAGTTGATTTCTGACTGCCTCCAGTGCCATATTGATTGGGATTTTAGTATAAAGACTTGTTATGTCAAAACTAACTAACTAACCTTCTATGTGCAGGTCATTAAGTTTTTGTTTCAACTCGTAAGAATTTACTAGTCTAGAGTTTGAACGGTCTCTAACAGGACGTAATACTGATGCTAAATACTTTGATATCTCATATGTTGGTGTGTTCCGGAAGTCAGCTATCGGCCTAATGGGATAACCTGCTTTATGAACCTTAATAGTACCGTAAATTCTGCTAGGATTATTAGTTTTTGGCATTAAAGTAAACCATTCGGACTTACCTAGAGATGGCTTCAGTCGGCGTATGAGATCTGTTGTAGATTTCTTAATTTTATTCATGACAGTATCTATAGGTGTCTTAATCTCTTCATATGGCCCTGTTTGGATATGTTCATACATTTTTTTTAAGATAATCCGATTTGTCCATAACTACTGTTGAGTTACCTTTGTCAGATTTAGCAATTACTATACTATTATCCTTTCGTAGATTGTTTAAAGCTGAATTTTCCAGTTTCGTTAAGTTTCGCTGTGTCTTCCTTTGTTTTTTTAGTGCTAATGCACACTGCTCTCTAACCTGTTCAACAGTTGTCACATCCATCGAGCTTAATGCTACTTCTATGCTAGGTATGACATCTTCTGGTTTTAGATGATCTACTGTTATGTTGAAGTTTAGTCCTTTTTCAAGTACTTTCATCTCAGCTGAGCTTAAGGCTTTCGAGGAGAGATTGACTACCCACTTTGTTCTGTCGAGTAATAATAAATAATACTGTATCACTGTGCCCTTTATATCAAATAAACAAATCTAATATGGAACTAGTGGAGTATATTTTCATCCTAGATCCTATATTGTTTCAGTCTATCCGTTTATTCACTAGATCTTCAAAAAAAACTTCTAGTCCAGGAAATAAGAGAGAATCCGTTACTTAAAATTGCCATTTTCTAATCTTGACTTCTTTTTGATATGATTCTGACTTCGGTTTTTCCTGTATTTTCTTCTTACAGATGGCTTCTCGAGTTGTTATCAAGTTGTTTGACTTAAATCCTTCAAGTTTCTCAAATCTGTTACAAGCTCTTCCACGTACAGCTCAAGATCGTGCACATGAAGTACTTAAAACTTACCAGAAAACAGCTACAGGAGGTGGTTTGATGAGTTTTAGCGATGGGAATCACAATCCTCCATCATGGAAGTCATCGTAAGTGAAAATACTGATCCTATTAAAAAAATAAAATATTGTTTTGATCCATTTCTAATAGTGTAATACTTTCTACTTCTTTAATAGAATGTAGACCCCTGTAATATCATGAGGATTAGTTTCATGAAATTGCCCAACATACTTTTGTACATCATACTGCATTGAAACTAGTTCTATCTGAGTCAGAATTTGTAGGACGCTTATTGTGTTGCTATTCAGCAACTGTATATTTACTAATAAATGTAACTCAACTGTCAAAAGTTGTAAATCGTGTTTGTGTTTAAAAAAAAGTCATCAACTATTGCTTACCTTAGTTAAAGCCTGCTTTCTTTAGAAGTTATGCATGTTCTTTGTTTGTTGTCTCAATATCATGTCATTTATAGCTACACTCATACATGTAAACTAAACCATACTTTTATTGATATGTCTATCTTATATGCGCATTTCATCTTTTTCCCGCTTTAATCTGTTCATTTTACTACTATCACTACTTATACTGCTGCTGCTGCTACTACTACTACTGTTTCAGTTCAGGATCATTGAGAAAATATTCTCTGCCTTTAACGAATCGAAGTTATATGACTAGGTTGGTGCAACTTTATTCCTTGTGTCATATGTATACTCATATGTGTATCATGTAAAAGAATGTACTTAATTCTTCACCGTGTTTATAATCGCGTTTGTATGTTTGCGTGGGTGTACTTGCATAATACTAATCTTGAGAATGTATGCCTTAATTGGTGTATTAGCTAATAGTCTGATCATTGTATGATTTGCATGTTTCATTATTATTATTATTATTATTTATTTCTGTCTTTAGTTCTATGTATCCGTAATCATCATCACTTTGCATGTAAATTATTCTGATATGAGCTTGAAAATGGCACACCTGTTATGATAATTTGATTTCGCTTAAATTTCCTACTAATCCTATTTCCACTCCCTACCCCCCCCCCTTCCAAAACAAACTAATTTTTACATTGTGATGGATTCACTGTAAATTATGTTAGGTTTCTTTGCTTGTTGACTACAGCATATATGCATATCAGATTTGTCTATAAGCAGTTCGAAAGTTACGATAGTCGCTGGTTTGAATCCGGCTGCGGTCGAAATTTTCATTTTACCTTCAATCATCATGCAGTAAAAAATTTAAGCTTATTGTCTATCTAGTATAAGATGCTTTCATCGTTCGAATCACTTACATCCAGTTGCTACATCAAATAGATCTTTTTATTCTTATACAGAATCATGATATGTTTTTATTTCAATGAGATGCATCTTCCTCATTCTCTTGTTAAGTGTTTATTTCTGATCGAGTTTGTATGATTGTAAGCATACTGCAGTATTCTCCTGATAGTTTGAGTTAGCTCTTTCACTTAAATAAATTTTTTTGATGATGCCTATTCACAATTGTTGAAATTGCATTGCTTGTTACGTTGTAACAAAGATCACCTCCTTTATTTATCTGTACCCGTATACACTTACTGTATGTTTGCGTGCATGTGTGTGGACTATTTCAAGTCAAGTGCTGTTTGGAGTTGTGATCAACATTCAGCTATATTTTTTTGGCGTTGTATACACTAAGTTATTCAGTAAACGTCGTCTGCTCAGAAACCTAAAGTATGGTTTCTATCATCAATCCTTCAAATTGTCTACTCTCTTTTATCATTTAGACTATCTGAGATAACAGTGGTTTGACAGACTAATAGTGATACTGGGTGATGATGATGATGATAAAAATGGGGACCCCGGTGGGATTCGAACCAGTGGCCACCTGGTTTCTGACCTAGTACTCCTACTGCGATCCAAATTTTCATTTCACCTTCAGTCACCTCCCTTTAATTTGTTTATTTATTTTTCTATCGGTGCCTGGCCTGTCGTGCACTAAGTTGATTTCTCCCTCGCACATGTGCACATACACACGATGACATTTTGTGACACGTCTCAATAGTGACTAACAGTCAGATTCTACGCACTATACAACTTAACGATCTACTAACTAATCTAACCTATTTTCCAATTTTTTGTTAGTAATAATTTTCACATCATCTTTTTGTTAATTGCACAGTCACCGTTAACATGTAGTTTTTCGATTGCCTCAAGTCACTCTAATCAGTAATTGTGTAGTATTTTAACCTATAGCTAACTGGTTATTTGCGTTCAGGAGATACTTAGTGTTTGTTTCAGAGCTAAACTCTCACGGTTTTTAATTGCTAAACAGTGCGTGTAAAAGTTGACAAAGATGACTCAACTATTCATCACTGGCTGGCTTTAACCATCTTTACACTAGCCTCAGTTTGTGGCAATTAATGCTGAAAAGTAGTATTTTTCGTTATCAAGATCTCTGTGTATTGAATCATTGTTAATTTTATATGAATTTTCAATGTGTTTTGTTTCGTTTTCTTAATAACAATAATAATAATAATAATGTTGTATCTTATATACTCACTCCGAAATGAAATGATGAGTACATTGAAAGTAGCCTCAAGTTGGAAAATATCGATAAAACTGAGCAGTCCACCAAATTGTTTGGCAGACAGACAGAAAGAAAAATCATCATAAAACCTCTTTTAATCTAATTCAGCTTTCCTTAACATGGTAGGTGGTGACTTGGTATCCTCAGTACGTGTCCAAGCCACCTCAGTCGACTAAGGTTCACAACTTCATCAACTAATTTACCTGCCCTTGCCTAGTACCCTTCTCCTGACCTCAACGTTGCTAACATGAGTGATGCATCGGTTCAAGTTATCAACTGCTGGCTGAACGCTGTGGGTAATTATAAGTTGTTCTAAGCTCTGGTCTGCCTGTATGTTTACTGATATTGAGAAGAAATGTTAGCGGTTTGAGTTGGAAAAGCATACGAATTTGTTACAGACCACATGCTTCAATCCTCTCACATTCATCTTCTTCACAGTTAATTACGACCATGTACCAGAGTTTTTTTGTATAACATCCTTGACTTGCAAAAACTACATTCAGATTCGAAAGGAGAGAAGAATAATAAAAAAAATGCCAAAGCTCCATCAGTTCTCCAAAAGTGATCAGCACTTCTTGTATATAAACAGTAAAATCTTATCAGTAATATGAAGGCTAAGGGCGAAGGATTCTTTGTGAAATATGAACTGAATTCTGATTCTCTGCAGTAAGATACGACTTTCAATCAACCAACTGACTCCTTCTTAGAAAATTAATCATTAAATTACGGCAAATTACTCAGAAAAAGGTGCTACATAAAAAAAATCACTGAAAAACATTTCACCGGGAAACAAGACCACTAGAAATCGAATGAAATGATCTCTTTCAAAGCAAAAAAAACTCATATAATCAGTTGATTAGTGATTATCATCGATTTTATTCAGTTTATTACTTTTACAACCAATTAGCTATTACTGTTTGTAGAAATATCAGTCTTCACATTAATCGTCTTAAGATTTCCATACAACAGATATCATATCATACGCTTTAACCAGTTAACCTATTCAAGAATGCATTAATTGTTAACCAAGTGGATCACGAATCCGAACTCTACTCCACGTACTATGGTTTGAGCAATCACGTAGTATGATTATATTTCACACGATTGGTGTAGCTCATTGGTTACTGAACAGCCGTTCATGTAGTTACTGAGTACGTCTCGATGAAATAGGCTTGTGAGCAGTTACCCGGTCACCCGGACCAAAATAGAAATAAAATGGGCTGTATGAATTTAAAATTATTAACCGAGTAGGTTCTACACCTATAAATTCATTGATTTGAGCATTCAACTCTTAATGGTTTCTGGGTTCAAATTGTACTCCAGCTGTTCTAGCCTAGGTAACTAGGTAGCTCCATAAGCTGTCATACAGGGAGTGTGGTTCATTGCTCAGTCCATTAATCCGTATCGATTTGAGTTAGCGTATTAATATATTGGTTTTAATATTTGTCCCTTGGGTTCCTAATGGAACATGCTTTTCAATTGCTCAAATAAGCTGTCATATGTTTAGATCACTCTGATCTGATTAATGAAATCGGCTTAGTAACACAATTGTACTTTCAATAGTCACTTCGCCAAATGAGAATTACTCAATTGTAAAAAAAGTCAACATGTGAACCCTCAGAATTTGTAATTAATTTGTAAATTGGTTGTTATATTTAAGGTATGCCACTCCATCGAAATCATTTAACCTAGATTCATTGAATCGAATGTGCCAGGTATATCTCTGAGTATCATGACTACAATCAAAGGAAACGGCGTCACAGTGCTTGGATCACTTTAATCTGACTACCGAAATCTGCAGGATGGCATATATAAGTCTCCGAATTATTCATTGTTTTCAGTGATAAGTCCCAAATATGATCAGTGATCAGCTGATCTTCACCTTCCACTACCTTCTATAATGAGGTTTGTTCAGTTGCTCGGAGAGAGTTATACTCTCAATATCTTGTGAACTTTTAATCGAATGATTTAAAAATGAACTGAGTTTAGAAGTTAGTATATTAGATTGTCAACTACGCTTATTTTATAATTGCGAACGTTACTATGTTTATTATGAGCCGATTATCTAGTTGTAAATAGTTGTGCAAGGTAGTTATGTAATTGTTATCACGAATAACGGTAATAATTGAGTAAAATAATTTTTTACATTATTTCTGATATGGATTTGTGAGTTCCACTTGTTTCATCAGTTATAATATAGAATTAAAATAATATTCAATCATGTTTTTTGTGGATTCATCTAGAATGAAAACCTAGGAGCAGTCGATAGCTGTTTCGTCCTAATATAGGACTCTTCAGTAGTCAATCAGTTAGTATTGATAAAGTGAACAATTGTAGACAATCATCTGATAAGTGGTCAGTAGCTGATGTTTTACAGCGTAGTGAAATCATTCAGTTATGTGGAGTAAACACGTTGAAATTAGGACAAATAAATTGAGAATAGTGAATGATTCGATAGAAAAAGTGTATTATGCAAAGTGTGTAAAGTGATGTGAACGGACAATATTAATTAAATTTTCGATATTATTAACATAATGTCAGTAATCCTAATCGAAACTGTATATAGAAGTTGTGATCAACAAGTTTATGCAAATTGGCAGCAAAGAAGATCTTTCATGGTATTATTACTTGGGATCTGAAATCAATTCCAACTTTTAGTACATGACATCCTATTTCATCTTCAATGCCTTTTCATTTCCACATTCTAATAGCTGCTGTAACTGTTTCTTCTTATTTATTATTTTTTTCTATGAATGTTACTGTGTTTCACAGTTGTTGTTTTTTGAAAGTCCTAATACTTTAGCCTGCATTAACACATTCTTTATTGATTCTGTCCTCTAGTATAATTTATGGCTTACGTGGTGAATATATTTTGTAAAGTTGCGATAATATCCGCATTATTATTATTCCTTTTTTCCTTCTCTTCTTTAATTCAAACATACTAGCACTTATTTGATGGTGTTTACACGTAGTATTCAATACCATATTCTGAAATCGAATTTCACTGATTCTTAAATCCAACTACGTATGGCTTCTTTTGTGTGCTCCTCTTTACATTTTCGATCACAAATTGTATGTTCATGTAGATTTTTAAATGTACTTTCTCTGTCTTTCTCCTTAGCATGATTTAATTAACTTGCTAATGATTTATGTGTTCTCACTATGACTATACTAACCAGTATTTTCATATATGTAATATTTGTTGTAATATATTAATGTCTTGTAGGTCTGTTGATCAAGAACGTATGCTTTCACCTACACCTGGTACTGGTCAACGTTCTCAAGATGCTAGTGGTCGAATAAGTCCTGAAAGCATGAATCGTATGATTCGTGAAACAGCAGATGGTCTTCAATCGCTTTCTATTGGTATCCCTACCTCTGTAACTAGTCCAGCACGAAGAGCTTCTGCTAGTCCAGGATATACATCCCCTCTACAATATGGAGCACGTGTTGAACATATGCATGATTTTGCACATACTACCAATGGTAATACTGGTGTACTGCGAACAATGCAACCAAACAACTTTCTGAATTCTCCTCCAACAGCACAACAGACTCCTTATATTGTTCCGTCTAATGTAAATCAATGTTATACTTCATTACCAGTTGCTCCTAATGATCCATCACTACAACCTACTTACGGTTTACGTACAAATAAGGTTGGTTTAATGTTGCATTTCTGATAGTTACATAGTATATCTTTATGCACGTTTGTTTACTTTTTTGTGATCCACATGACAATTCAGCGTCCTCATGAGGTGTATACTACTGACTATTAATGAAATATTTTCCGGAATATCATAAAACATGTTTAGAGATTGTATTTAGTTAAGCACCAAGATAAATTTTCTCATAGAATTCATTCAGTTTGAGATATATCGACTGGTTCATTGGCTAGGACACTTAACCGCACAACAGTGGACGTGCCATTGTTTAAAACCAACCTTATCTTTCTGCTGGCCAATCAGGTATTATCGTTAATCTTCACACTCTAAGTATAACTCGTATCGTAGTATATATACCTCTACTGAGTTGCAATAGATGCATCCGCGTGCAAGGCTTTACGTTGATTTTGTCAACCGGTCAGTCATCTGAGTTATATTATTATTCATGCCTTAATGTATCTTGACCGATTTATTCATGGATATGGGTAATTGTTTTTTTTGTTTTGTTTTTTCTAGGCTCCTATAAATTCTCTGATTAACTATGATCCTGGCGATGGTAAGTAATGTTGCCTTTAAAATTATATCAATTTATTGCTTTTTAATATCCTTTTACAAGATTGTTGTCAGGTTTCATACATGTTTCCTTATGTCCAAAACAGTTATAAACCTCAATCATTATAGGCGACAGGTAACTCAGTTTTCTGTATCTAATATGTGTATATATTAATTTTCTCTAAGTTCTACACAAACCACTGCTTGGATTATTGAAGGATGTTTTCCAGAACATCCTATAAACTAGTTGTCGTTGAAAAGTATTACCAGTGGACATGGATTCACATGCACAGAAACCAACCATTTCATCTGAATGGTCTCTGTATTTCCTGAGTAGACAAATAAACTATATTTAGCCTATACGTATTATTATTCATAGATGGTAAATGTAGCGAAACTGATGGTTGATGATGAGATAAGCGTTTGTGCGTCTTTCAATAGCCGATTGTAGGACATTTCACGAGTACACTTCAATCGTTTTAGGCCATTTCAGGAGTCTGATCTTTGTTAAAACAACAAACCACCTCAGAAAGAAGTGATTTTCTTTACAAGTAAGTGGCTTAGTAGCTTGTCTTGATCGCCTTATTGGTTGGTTCTGTTGACTTCTTGGCTGATGACAAGCTACAAAAACATCTTTTGATGAATTTTCTTGGATAACCGTTCTTCTGGAAAACATGCATTCAGCAGTTTTGCTCTTTTTTCCATAAGGTTATTGTGCTATAGTGTGTCTTCGCTGTTTCGAACAATATTTTTATAAAACTGATTTTGTGTGCTGTTGGGTTGTTGTTACTGTAGTTGACGATATGATCCGTATGAGTTGGCTTTCGGTATACTTCAGTTTCCAATTTCCCCGAATTTGTTCTAGTGATCAGAACATCTAAAAATGGAAGGTTGATGTCGTCAAAAATGTTGTAGATTAATTTGTAAGCGCTTTTCAATTCGTTTCTTTTAATTGATGATGAACGTATCGTCTACATATTGATTTCATCAACGGCGATACCAGTTTCCAGTCTCTAGATCACTGCTTCTGCAAATAGTCCTGATCTAGGGGATCCCATTTGTGTTCCTGTTGTCTTTTCGTAAAGTTTTGCCCTTGAAATGAAAATATGTTATAAGGTGTAACTAATTCTATCCAACCTCAACATCGCAGTTGTGTGTATTCCGAGAGGTTTGTATCATTTTTGAGGAGAAACGTCACTGCATCCCTAGCCAGTTCCGGTTCAGTTGAAGTGTTTAGAGTGGTAACATCGAAAGACACCATCGGTTTGTCGTTATCAATATGAATATGCTTGATCTTTTCTAAAAATCGTGTCGAAGAGTTAATAAAATGGTCGCATTCTTCTACCAGATGCTTTAGTTTTCTGAAGAGTTCTTTTGAAAGACTGTATGTCAGGGTTCCTGGGAGTGAAACAGTTGGTCTTAGTGGTACGTTTGGTTTATGTATTTTTGGTCTTCCATAAAAAGGTGGGAGAACAGTTCTATTGGAATTCATTCGCTGTTGCTCTTGCGTTTTAATCTGTCCCGTTTTGATGAGTTTGTTCAAGGTCTTGGTGATGTGAGAGTCGAATATTTGAGTAGGATTTGTCTCACTTGGGTGGTATGCATTGCGATTCATGGGGAGTTCTTCCGCTCTTTTGATGAAGTCGTTTTTATCCATGATTACTGTGGCGCGCCTTTTGTAAGATAGGAATATAAGGATGTTCATTTTCCTAAAAACTATCTATTCTACACTGGTTAGTTGGGTACGGGTTTGCTATTGCCTAGTCAGAGGTACGATTATTTGTCGTATTTCCTGTTGAGTCTCAGTCCTGAAGTTTTCAGTGGTGACACTAGAGATGCGAAAAATTCTGGTCCTGAGGCGTCTCCTGTATTACAATGAAGTCCTTTCTCCAGGAGACATTCCTCGGACTAAGTCAGAAGTTGCTTTGCCAAGTTGACTTTTATCTACAAAATAAACTTCTGAGACTATGAAAAACACTATATCGAACAGAGTGGTCGCCCTCTTCGTATCCGTCTACGTGAACATGAACTAGCAATGAAGCGTCATGACATATCTTCGCTCATATCAATGCACTAGGGTAGCTGAGGACATGAATTTCAGTAGGAAAATGTAGAAATCCTGGATAGAGGAAACACGTAGAATGCCAGAGAGTTTTTAGAAGCTATATTTTTTGGTCAGTCAGCGATCAGCAGACATATTGACATTGACCCGATCTACCAACCAATAAGGAACAGCAAAAAGCTCAAAGTTCATGTCAACAGGACAACCAATCGAAACAAATATAGAGACAATGAAAAAGCTTTGAGAGAAACAAGCAATCACATACAAGACCATCAGGACAAGCTACTAAGCCACCTGTGTTGATGCTGTTGGCCGGAAGGTCAATGAAAGCTTCACGAATAAACCATCCAACCCAGAGAACATAATGCCATCAAAACATCCTCCTGAGTTACAAATATTCTCCATAATTGCAAAACCAAACACCGATTACCACCTGTTCAGTAATCGTTAATCAAGAAATGATGAGATAATTTATCTGAGTGGTAACTTATTTTTGAAAAGGACTGATATCAGAGAAGAAAAATTAGTGTGATAGAATCTGAAAATAAAGGTTTAGAAAACGTCAAGAAGTGAATGCATCCGCACCATTGTAACTGATCTTCAGCCATATCCCCAAGAGTCCTCAACTACCAATTTCTATCGTCTTTGGGACTCCAATAATGTATTCCCCACTTACCTACGCAGCCCAGTCGAACAGTGAGGGCTTTCACCAGCTGGTGCCACGTCTTGGTCTGACCACCCTGTACTCTCTTCCCCTAGCATGGTAATGCCGAGGTAGTTGGTGTTTCGGCATGACCAGTATGACAAGGTACCCCGACTAACAATAGAGAGTAGAGTGGTTCAACGCGTTAAAAATTTCACTTACCCCGGAAATCGGATCAGCTCTAATGGCTCAGTGGCCGATGAAATCTTTGCACGGATACAAACGGCTTGGTTGGCTTTTGGTTTAGACAGACAGATAGCATAATCTTGCAGGAATATACGTATGGTTGTCGAGAGCATTTCGATTTTTCCCCAAGTTATTGTGTGTCTCTCCTGTGCCACAAATGATGGCAGTTGTCAAAAGCTATCTGAACTTTTATATCTGTGCAAAATTACTGCGATTTATTAATACCCTGCTAACCAATCCATTTTACTCTATATATAATATGTAGACTCAGTGAGAACGTAATAAGTTGACTGCTTATCGAAGAATATTCCCATTTTCAGACTCAGAAATATCTTTTGGACACCAATGTCACCCTAAGTTGGTTATCAAAAGTAACTGGATTTTCAAAATTTTCTTTTTTAAAAATGAAAATGTGAGAGTTAGATTAAATGACAAATACATTTATGTCACTAAGTCACCGATGTCATCGATGTCTGATGAAGTTCAATAGTCAATGATCATAAAATTCTCCATTTCTTTAATAAATATATACTACTCAACGACACCACAGTAAAGAAATATCAACGTGGATCGTTCAATTTGTAAATCGTTTATAAACTGATCATTCTATTCTTCATTTAAACTAAAACAGAATCTTCTACAAAGCCTTTATTCGGTTAACATTTTATTCAAACGTCTGAGCTTGTTGTATACAGATTTTTGGATAACAGAGATCAGTGTTTGTTGTTGCTGTGATTTGGCGATCTAGCAGAGAGACTAGCTATTATGATGATATAATCTATATTCATAAAAATGACCAGTTATTTGGCATGACTTCAAATAGCAACTAGAATTTGAGTACGACTGTTCTTGTTGACTTTCCTCGTCAATACAGCTAAATTACTTAACAATCAAAGTCTATACCCTTCATTACTTGTCTTATTCTCTGAAGGATGATTTCATTTTGAATTCCAACTAGACAATACCTAGTGAGAGTTTGTTTTGGACTGATTCGTAGTAGTTTGAACATGATCAGAATCTTGTCAACATTTGTTAAACACTTCCAATATCTAGATGTTTATTCACTAATGGAATGGTTTGTTAAAAAAAAGCAGTATTTTAATGATTAACTACACACCCAGTATAAAGTTAATCCAATTCAACAATCGAAGACAAATAGTTTGTGGATCAGGTTATAAGTAACACCGATACTGCCGTGTCGTCACATATACATCTGTAGATGGAGTCATATTCAAAGCATATGGTATTGCCTCCAGTGAGTCAATACTCCACGTAATAATAATGATAGTAATAATAATAATAATAATAATAATAATAATAATAATAATAATAATAATAATAGCAGTTTTATCCCAAACAATATGCTTCAAACAGTATAAAATTCTCAGTATATAATAAATGATAACAACAGCATTAAAGGTAATAGTGTGAAACAGTCGGTTTGTTCTGGATTAGCGTATGTTCATTCAAAAGTCCACTTTCACTTAACATGACGTTTTTCCTTCACTTTTAATATTACTTCGAAAAAAGTTTGGTTTAGAACATGTTAAAAATCTACAAGAGTATATTATGCATTTGGAGAATATATTTGAGAGATTAAAATAAATTGAAAGGAAGGAATTTGATATAATATATCCAGTGGAAAGTTATATTGGTAGGCCAAAGTTTAAGCAGCCTGTCAGTACAGGTTGTACTCAACTGACAGTTAATCTGTTCATTCAGATGTCACTGAGTTTTTTTCAATTAATCAGGGTATAATACATATAACCTATTAAAATGATAACTATGAATCAGGTTGTTACACCACCTTAATAAAAAAAAACACGAATGAAATATTTCTTTAAGCATAACGAAAATGAGTCGAGTTACAGATATACATATCGATTTTGAATCACGTCTTCACAGGTTTTTAAGCAATAAATATAAATTAATATATATGATCCATGACAAGTCTACTTAAATCCCTCCTTCGTATTAATACTTTGTTCAAATCATACCTTCATTAACACAATATTCTAATTAACATGATACCTTAAAACTAACACCTATTATCATATGACTGTGAAAAGAATGTTCTTTTAGACAGCGTGATTTTTGATTGGATTACTTACTGTTCAGCATTTCTCAGTCTTGATAACACTACTTATAAAGGAAATGAGTAAATTGCAACATGTGACGTGGATCATTATTATTACACATTATCTCTTCATTTTTACATCAAGATGGCGCATTCTGTTAATAGATGGAAGTTTAGCACATAAGCTTCAAATTCTTCTTTCAATCTCCGAGGGGTGGGGTGGATGTCGAGTTCAAATCACTTTGATTCGGACAACTGATAAGTATCATCATATATAAGCTCATAGCCTAGTTTTTTTCTATATCTTTATTTATCCCTTAGATTTCTAGTGGAACATAGGGCTTCAGAAGCACGTCGCCATTTCACTCTCTTCTCTGCAATCCTTTTTCAACCTGCCTCCATCACTGACCACAAGCTTTCATTCTTTCCTCATATGATCTCCTCCATGTCAGCCTCACCTCTAACAGGCAACTAGTCGTTTCTCATTTTGGTTCCACTTGAGGGCGTGACCTGACGTGTGGTGTGATATCCTCAAACGGTCTTCTGAGTGTATGTCCAATCCCATCCATCTTCACTTTCTTCTTCATGTTTGTTGGGCGATAGGTTGTTGGTTGGTTCATTTCCACAGTTCCTTGTCATAGCCTAATACGTATACCTATATCTGGTTTAGTTGCATATCTTGATGCCTATGTTCGTTTTTAGATAAACGAAGTTGTAAATGACCGCTGCAGGCATATTATTCCCCCTTGATTCATCTTGATAAATAGTCGTCTATCAAGTTGACATTAGATATAGATTGTATTCGTGTAAGTCACAGCGTGTTTGAGAATCAAATAATTCCAACGTTTCGCACGGAAGTCTGGTCCGAGCTTCTTCAGGGAAATAATCAAAATTAAAATATTAAGGATGTTTGACTGGAGAAGCTCGGATCCGACGTCCGTGTGAAACGTTGGAATTATTTGATTTCAAACCCCTCTGTGACTTACACAAATACAATCTATATCTAATGTCAACCTTTTACTCAGCGCCCAATGTCTGCCATACTATACCATCAAATCTTGATCATAATTTATATGGTCTATCAAACTGTTCCTAAATACTTAATAACTTCCCTTTCGTTACTCAAAAGAGCGTCTTGATCACATACCCAACTTAATAATCTACAACTCCGTAGATCTAGGATTTCGGGTTAGTACTTTTCACTGAAGAGATTTCCAAGGAACCGTATCATAGTGCTACTGTCTCTCTATCCCCAAATTCCTGTGACTATATGAAGACTTTACATGAGTTATTCTGTTGGGGATGTTCACATTCTCTCGATAATATCACAGACTAATGAGATATTAGTTCAGCTTATCTGTCCTCTTGTTTGTGAATGAAGATATCAATCTAGGGAGAATAATGATCCATATTAAATTCGTGTATTTGATTTATAACACACAGTGATACAGTCACACTTACTCGATGACGTTTCGAGCATTAATTATCCATGCCCATAATCATATCAGTGTTGTCAAACTACTTTTGACATCTGATTTTTATAGTCCTATTACCTTATATTCTTTGTTCTTATTGGTGGTAAAATTTTCCATATCTCTGGTATGGGTGTTGCGTCATTCTTATTACTTGTGTTGGGTGTCGGCTGATTCGATAAACAAAATTTCAGTAATCAGTCTCTCCATCTAATTAAGTACAGTGGTTTTATCATCCACCTTATTGTGTGGTTGTGTGTTAATGCGTGCACTGTACTAACCGAGTGTTTTTCTAGATTATTGGTCTTATTCAGGTCTGTCTTTCTATACTTAGCTAAACTCCTAGACTACGATGATATAACTGACCCCGACCATCTAGTTTGATCTATGTACTTGACCTCACAGTCATTACATGAAATTTTTGGTAGATTAGATTACTCAGCTTAATTGGTTCTATCGGATCCTTTAACCAACCGACAAAATTTATCTCCGAATGAGTTTATAGGTTTAAATATCACCCTAATTCCAGCTTTGTTGGGAATCTTGCGTAAAGTTTGTGATGTTCCTTCCTTGTGTTGTAAGGTAATAGAGGAGTAATTTATGCTCGAAACGTTATCAAGTAAATAGTGCTGTATCACTGTATGTTTTAAACCAAATAAACAAATCTCATATGGATTAATGTTCCATTTTAATTACTACTATATCAATGACACTTGAATTATGGAAATCAAGACATTGTCCTTTTTCCTGTTCGATGTTGCATAAGATTGATCTTAAAGTGGTTCTAAAGGTGTTGTAAATCATTTTGTGCATAGACACGTTTTGACAATAGGTCACAATTGACAAATGAATTCATTCAATTGATAATCTAACACAACTCATCTAGTGTATTTTATTCTACCGTATCATTTATATCATAATACTCAATGTCTGTTTATTAATATGAAACTGTTTTAATATTACTTACTATTCTACTCATCTTTTCATGTATACTACTGTTCTATTATATCCTATTGTATATATTTTTTTTGAAATCATCCTGTTGTCCCCCTTTTCACTATCCTCTTCATCACCATCATCATCGTTGTCGTCATCATTACTCTACATCACTAGGGCCGAAATTAAAGAAACCTGTGATTGGTTATCAGACTTTAAAAAAGATACGCGGTAAGCTTACCCCTCTTATATGAAGAAAATACTGGTGTATAGAATGAATACAAGCACTTTTTATATGTGTACATGGTAGTTGTTATGCTATACTGAATGATTTCTTATTGTGCCGTTAATTTCTATGTAGATTTTTTTTCACCGCTATTTGTCTTCATTGACATCTACCTATTCTGCTGTGATCAGCACACATTTGCTGGTGGTAATTGTTGATGCACGCTTGCTTTATCATATAGATGTTTATTCATACTCTTTGTCTACTCTCTCGCCTTTTTCTGGGTTACTCTTCAGTTTTTGTTTACTGTGGTTGTGTATGTATGTGTATGTGTATGTCATATATATCTTATTTCATGGTTGTTTTTATATTGGCTTCATCATAAAGAGAGAATGTTAGATGTAATGATATATATTTATTCCTAGTTTGTCATGTTTTTCTGTTTTTTTCTGCTTCACTTTTTGTGTCCATGATAGTTTTTCACTCAAACTTCATGCTTCCTTTATGCTTACGCTTTTAGAAATGCCTCCGGAAGACATCATGTCCGAAATATTACAGGAATTGTCGAATCATAATGAACGGTAAGATAGTTTATCATTTTTAATTCGCTCCTCTTTCATTTAATATTCTTCCTGTGTAGCTTTTACAAGTAGTTGTTTGTGTTTTGTGTACAAGAGATTATGCTTCTATAGGTTCATTGTACTTCTGAATATCTTAGAGACAAGTTGCCGTAATTTTTGGATATGACTCTTTGATTTTGTAGCTGTACTGTTGGCTATTGTAGTCGATATGTCCACAGTTGAGCTATTTAAGGTGATGACGTAAAGTTTACTGTTCATAGATTTTTGTTATTTGCTGCATTGTACTTCTTGATCAACCGACTTCAGTTAGTACTGTTGGCTAAAGTGACATGGAACGCATTCAGCCGCCTCGTGCACATCCCTACTATAGGCACTAAGCCATACACTTATTGTGTAAGAGCATATGATACTACCTGGTTGCCCGAACCTCGATAAACAGAGCGGGTTTCGAACCTGTGACTCATATTAATTTCCTTAAACCACTGAGCCACAGCACCACCATCTGGCATGTAAAGTAACATGCTAGATGTCTATGTATTATAGGGATGTTATGTGACATCTAGGTTTATATCTTGTCTTTTTGGTGGTCATGAGCAGATTCACAGTACGAAGTTGATGTAACTGTTTGAACCGTTGTACCTTGAATACAGTTGCTGTTTTAAAACAAAAGACATGGAGTAAAGAGTCACTCTTCTCAATGGTATCATTCTTAAGCTGTACAATCGCCTGAAATTTCTTCATACTTCGGAAACCTGAACTCTGCGTTCAAAATAAATATTTCCAATCACTTGAGTTCCAGTGGTCATGACCTATAAGAACATTTCGCTCTCAAAATCTTTTCCTTTTGTTCTTCGACTACTATAATTCTGATTACTCATTACATTCATCAGTCCCATCAACTATATTACATCATTTAGTTTAGTAACTTATTATTACTTCTATCTTGATTAGTCTTCTTCTCATTGCTGTTTTTCAAGCATTACGCAATTCTTTTTTATATCCCTTGATTCATAATCATAACTGAATTTCGTTCAAAAATACTTTTTCTCTCTGTTACCATATGAAATGACTATTATTTATACATGATTGTACTACAGCCTGAGAATGAAAATCACCGAAAAAAGTGACTTCACTAAACATGTTTTATTTTATGACTTTTCAAAATTACGAAACTTTGGTACTACACACTGAGCAGATGCTGGATTTGTTCGTTTCAGACATACTACACTGGAATACAATGAATGGATTTTGGAAAGCAATGAATTGCCCGTATTTATGATAGACTAGTTAAATCACCTTCAAGAATAGGATCTTTTTACCAATTTTATTTCATTTAGTCTTACATGTCAATGAAAATCACTTTGTTATCATGTGCTTAGAAACGCATAGACCAACTGACATCTTATTTCATCTTCTATTAAAAAAGAAAACGCCTGTATCAATTGTCACCCGCTCTATTCTACATTTATTTTTTTCAGTAGTGTATGATTTCTAGAATTTTGAATATGTTTACCCCTGGAAATTGAACAGTGAAACATCGCACTATTTGTTCTCGGTGGTTCTTGGGAGTGTTTTTGATAGTATCTACAAGATTGATATCTTTTCGGCGATGCTAAGATTACCCCATTACTGGTTTCTCTATTGGCATCCCACTTTTCCTTTTCTCAGACTAAAGAAACGTTTCGATCTACACTAAGACTACCTTTTTCTCCTTCTCAGAAATCGATCTCAATGGCACACATTATCTTCATCTTAATCGTCATACCAAATTTTTGTAAAGTGTCATCCCTTCTTGTTCTCTTTCCATTATGGTCTACTATCTTTGAATACTTGCTCTCTCCTCCATTTCTCTATCTCGATGCTTTCCCGTTTATTATTATTTGTCTCTTGGGTTCCTAGTGGAACATAGGGCTTCAGAAGCACGTCGCCACTTCACTCTCTTCTCTGCAATCCTTTTTTAACCTGCCTCCATCACTGACCACAAGCTTTCATTCTTTCCTCATATGATCTCCTCCATGTCAGCCTCACCTCGAACAGGCAACTAGTCGTTTCTCATTTGGGTTCCACTTGAGGGCGTGACCTGACCTGACGTGTTATGTGATATCCTCAAACGGTCTTCTGAGTGTATGTCCAATCCCATCCATCTCCTCTTTCTTCTTCATGTTTGTTGGGCGATAGGTTGTTAGTTGGTTCGTTGCCAGGCTAGAGTGAGTTCCTCGTTGCTTGTTCTTATTATTCTGGCCATCTGATCTTCAGTATCGAGTCAACGTGGGTGGTAGTGGTTGATGATGTATGTCTGCAGTTTGTTGGAAGTGATTTTCGTAACGCACCAAGTCTCTCAACCATATTGTAAAAGCACTGACCTGACATTGGTGTTGAAAATTCGGATCTTGTTCTTTATGCTGAGTGCAGTAGATCTCCATACTGGTTGATATAAGATTTAAAAGCTGGAACAATTTATTTAATAATGTCAGGTACCGTGTTGATATTGACTAAAAAAAATCTTGGATCACCACTTTACTGCCAAGTTCCTCACTATTATTTTACTCTGACACTTGTACATCACAGTGACCTATATATGTATTTGGTCTGGGTCGCATTAAGTTTTTCGACTACTTACTTTATTGACATCAAAACAGTGTTCGAAAGTAGCTGACCATTCGAATCCGTCGCCACTAATCAACACTCCAACTTTAGAGCAAACTAGAAAGCATTCAGCTAAGTTGGTGGACAGAAGGTACCGACCAATTGTACACCTCATGAGTTTAACTGTGAACAAACTCCAAATGTTTGCCAGTGTCTAGTTTTGTGTTGTTCGTGAGTCGAGAAAATCTTTGCTCTCCTCAGTCATACAGTGTGATGATAAGTTCATATCAACGAAAAGTTAATTACAGCCAGTGGCTGGCAATGGAACCAGGAGATCCTGGGTTTCATCCCCAGTGCGGTCATCGGTGCCCACTGATGAAGAGTCCCATACTAGTGCGACGAAACACCTACTCAGTGCTCTCAGGTTTCTAATGTTCCTCCAGTTGATGTCAGTTCATCATGATAACTAACCTACCTATATGCGTTTGCACTCTATGTTACTTTCTCTATTTTTGATCATTCATTCAAATCAACATAAGACGAAGCATTACTGCGTAACGGTCCGAGTTGTCACACTTCATCTCATATCAGTACATCAAGTAAAAAGGCAGTAAAGTGTAAGATGAAGAAAGGGATATTCCGGTAAAAGAAATATAAAGTACTGAGAGAGAGAGAGAGAGAGAGGTAGAAAGGAAGAATGGGAAAATGGTGAGATTCAATATAGTGTCGTGAAGATGAGGATAATGTGTGCATGCATCTGCTCGATTGACATCGTTGTGAGCCATATGATCACATAGAGTCTCCAACCACTGGTTTCTGTTATCGTGCCCCACATGGCTGAAACCAACAGTCAAAGAGTTCATATATTGATGGTATCTTTTAGTGCGACCGCCTCGGTCGTTTTTCAGTGTGAATCTACTTTGGCCAATATTGTGTGACTAGGCGATCGGTGACTAGGTATACTTAATACGTGTCGGAACCAGCTATCTCAGTTAATGAAGGTTCACAACATCTTCAACTGATTTACCTCTTCTTCGTAAAACTGTACACCTAACTTGTGTGTTACTCACGTGGTTACATCACGGAATATGGCGTGTATACTACGAATTCAATGGTGGTGAAAGACGTGCAGCCTTGTGATGTCTTCCTCGTTGAATGGTTATTTCTCTCAGGTATACAGTAGAACAGAGTTGAGTGTTGTGTAGTACACGCGACCCTTAATAGACAATCGGATATCGCGGCGGTTCCACAGATGGCGTCAATTGGCAAAAGCAATGCAAGCCTTTTTGTATTCGTGGAGAGATATTACCTGCCACTAAGCCATCAGGACTTCCTAGGTTAGTGAAATGGTCGACCCACTCAACCACTACACTCTCTATTATTAGCTGTGGTACTGTTGAAGACCAATCCCGGAGCAACAATTTGCCTTTGGATGATGAGAAGTTTTGGTCTAAGTTGGTTATTATGGTTTCCAATTTTTCCAACTTTTTTTAAAATTGGTTTATTTCCGCTTAATATTACTGTTTTTTTTAGTTTCATAATATTATGATATAGATTGATTTTCTTTCCACTATTTGTTTGATGACTGAACAATTTATTCACCTTTTTCACTTATTTACCAATGATTTTTAAGCAATTATTATTTATGAATAAGAAGAATAAGATTTATATATATATATATATATATATATATATATATATATATATGTCAATGAAGAGATATTCCTTTTCAATAACTTTATTGTCAAGTTGTTCAGTTGTATTTATAACCCGTAAATTGTGAGATCAGTGTACTACAAGGTTGTTAAGCCAGTGTCCATATGATGCAAAAAACGAATAGCCACTCATCCTAAGAAACGTTTAATCATGAATTTAAAATTCAAAAAAGGATATCAAAGCTGAAGTGTTGAAGAGTCGTGAGTTGAAGCGTATCAACAGTACCTTTTATTCTGCTAGATTGTGATTGATATTCTTCAGTCGTCATTTGGTTTAATACATTAAGAATGGGCTACCACTTATGTCCATATATGTGTGTATCTACAAATTCACATACTCCTGTGGAGCTGACTATATTGGACGTGTGAAAACGTCTTACTGAACATTACCCAGTATGGCTTACTAAATAATGAGCGAAAAAAGCAACAACTTCATCCATATATGAACATCTAATGGAATTAGATCATTCATTTCCTCGAGATTCATCCTTGAAGGGGATTTACAAAGTTGAATTGAACTACTCCGAAGTTCTATGCATAGCTGAAACATTAGCTATATATGCGCAAAACCCCAAACAGTGCGTTGAAAAATGTTTCTTTGAATAACTTCATTATCAAGCTGTACATCTGTATTTATAATCAATAAAATGATAGATAAAAAGGCATTAAACTGGTTGCTCACTTAATATCCATCTGATT